AAAAAGGAATTGAAAAAACCAACTATTTTTATTAAGCCTAAAATAACTGCGTCATACAATAATAATTAACCCAAATTGTCTACTAGAAGATCATCAAATCAAATTAATCATCATCATACTGTAAGGTATGAATTATGAGCTCATTCATACTTTTTTGAAGATCATGATATTGATAATAAAGATATCATGATATCATTGAAAAAAACTCATAGAGAAGTTCAAACGTATGTCAATAAACTTGAGTGAAATATATTTATAAAACATGAGATGTAATCAATGATGATGACAAAAAATTACAATTTGATAGACATCAATTGGATGTACAAGCTTTAAAAAAATTTAGCATATGACAAGATCAAAATCTTCAAAATGTTGTTGGTGATTAGAGATTTCACATAAGAGAATGTTGTGAAATCGGTTACTAGAATAAAATTTCTGTCACTTGTATGAATCAAATTTGAATGATATGGTAAAATATTTAGTTTGATTTCTAGTTTATGTAATTGAATCGTGTTTTTATGAATCTTTCAAGGAGCAAATCTACAACAACAAAAAAACTTGGTTTGCATATTGCTGAGATCTTTATATAAATTGAAGCTAGCTTGTAGACATTGAAATGCAAGATTTGATCATATCATAAAAGCATAATGGATTTCACCAAAGGTGAAATTTTATTTTATTCCATGTAATTAAATGAAAAGATGAACAATGAAATGTTCAATTTCATTATTCTAATGTGAATATTATGTCATTTTTTTCATAATATCATGTTTTGCATCATGTTGATAGATGCAAAAATCAACTAAAATATTGAATATGTACCCATTTATTAGAAATATTATTCATATAAATTTTGAGAAAAAAATAACATGATTGACTCACGACAGATACATAAAACGCATATATGTTTTGCATCATAGACTTTGAAGTAGTTTGAATTCCTTTCATAGCACAATTCAAACTTTGTGCATTTCAAGGGTTATATGATCTATGTTATGTTTCTTTCTAGAACTTACCATACAGTAATTGTTTCCATTATAGAGTAAATTTTTTTCACAATAAGAATAACAGACAAGATTGTTAGTATTAATTCAAAACTATCTTCCTAATATCAAAATTTTTAGCATATTGACTAAAAAAATATACAATGAGCACATACGACAATTTTCTTTTAACGTGATCAGAAATCTTTTGTCGTCTTGTTAAATAATACATTTTTATGTTTAGATCTAACTTTACATTAAAAAAGAAATTATTCAAATAATCTAAAGAAATAGTATATTTAATAAATATAAACGTTCTAAAATCACATCCTTTGCCATAAAGGACAAAACAATGATTCACCATCTTTCTTGCTATAAATCATCAATCAACAAAAAAGATTTATGAATCTTGAAATAAATCTATACACTTATACATGACATTAACAGATAAAAAGAAAATGTCAGATAAAACAAACTATGAGCTTAAAAGATGAAGGGTAATCAAGATTTTCTAAATAATGTTGAACTTTTCAAAGTTTGAAGATCTTGAATCTTGAATCTCATTGAATTCAAGGAGCTATACAACTTGTTTGACATTTCTCTACTGTTAAGATCTTTCTTCCAATATTTTCAAAATAAAATGTATAATTTTCATACTCATACATTTTTAACTTCCAAAAGATGTTAATAAAATTTAACAATACTCACGAGATGTTTTAAAAAATCTTCTTCAATTTTTTTCGTTGAAGATAGAGAAACACCTTAGATTTTATATACAAAAATTCTAAGGTAAGATGATTGTGTGTAAGTGAGAAACTAATAATAAATTTGATAATATAATAAAATCACTATTTAAATAATCCTAATATTTTTATAATCATGTAATTACACCGGAGCTATATTAACTAACTGAGATTTACCTAATTGAAGTTCAATCAAAACCTCAGACTCCTAGTTCTAGTGTGGAGTTAAAAGATAAAAATGATTTATGAATTAAAAAATAATTATTCATTTTAAAATTTAGATGAAATTTGTTTCCTATATCAAGTTCATCATGACAAGTTTAAGAAAATTTATATGAATTCATGAAAATAAAAAAATTGGGACAACCAATATGCTACAAGTTTGAAATAATCATGATTAAATTTGGATTGACTAGTATTTGAAGATTTAATCAGAATTTAAAACAAAATCAGTTGCTATGAATTTGAGTAAGTACTAAAACATAATGGTCAAATGACCATTATCTGATAGTGTCAAATTGATAGAATGGATACAAGTTCTACACTTCATCAAGTTGACTGGTTACAAAAAAAAAATTTGTTACATCTATGAGTAAATAAATTTAGGATATTTCTTTTGAAAATTTTTAACTTTTCACTAGAAAATTTAAGATATTTTTATCGGAGGCTCTTAAATTCAAACTCTCGGCAAAGTTTTTAACAGCTTTTATTCAGTGTGTATGGAAGTGATAGTGTGAAGTAGAATGGACTTGATCGTTGAAAGTTGTGAGTAGTGTTTGTATTAAGACCCTCAAGTATTTAACAAGGATGCAAGCTACATTTATCAATGAGTTATTTATTCTCTTTATCTTTATGGCATTTACTTCTATAAAAAATAACCGACACCACCGCATTCACATGTGAAGTAGATTGGTGTGAACTGATATATTTAACCAAGTTAAAGTTGTTAAACAACAGGTCTTAACCAAGTTGAATACAAAAATAAATTTTGAAGAATAATGTATCCCATATATATTTTTATTTATTTTTTTATATATGGATACATTATTCTTAAAATTTCTTTCTTTGTATCTCAAAGTACAATTTTAAATTTCTATGCTTGAAATAAAAACATTTACATATTTACAATCATTTGCTACTAGTCATACTTATATTTCTATTTATTAAAATACTGTCACTATCAGAAGCTCATTCCAAACAAAAAAAATTGTCAAACTTTCATAATATTATTTTATCACCTTAACCTCAATATGCATTTCTAGTTCTATATCGTTGATTTTAAGATGAACCATATTTATTTTTTAATGAGCATTACTCTTCTCCTCAACAATTTCACATCACATGTTACGGGTCTAACGGTTATACTGAATTGGGGCACACGAATATAGAAAAAGATAACATCATAACATCAAGCTAAACAAGACATAGAATAGTAGGCAGATATATTTCCTATAACATATATTAACTATCAAGATAAAAAAATCTAATAAAGACATGAGATTTAAAACTTCGCAAGTGCTTTCTCTAGAATAATGGAAACAAGCTGTCTATATTATATTTCACAATAGGGAAGTGAAAGTGATACAGCATGTAATAATACTCAGTCTCCATACCTAATACATTTTTAAATGCCATTGTTCTTATCGCATGTTTTATATAAATCATATAAAAACAAGTTTTGCAAAAATGAGTTTACGCTCCATTTCAATATTATTGATACTCGTATTCTGAATCTCATTGGATGGGAATATTCATCTGTTTGAATTTTCCAGGTTGAAAATATATTGAAATATAACAGGAAATAAACCAACCAACGCTACTCTAAGTACTGTCTCGATCATAGAGGTTCTACCTTTCAAATGTCAGATTTGTGCGCAAAAGTCCCGCTTTTGACCATGCCAGAGGTTGATACAAACCATGTTGTATCCTTCATCTCAACCTGCGGTTCGTCTGTAAATCAAAGTTATTTAGATCTTGTTCAGATCTTGGTTCAATTCAGAATCCCGCCGCGTTGACGAATCGTTACCGAGACAGTTCCTCACACTAGCCGGGAAGAGATCGAGTCATCATAATAGTATAATATAAAGTAGAGGCTAAATTATCCCTCACCTGCGTGTATCCAGCTCAGTTAAAAAGTTCTCATTTTCAGCTCAGCTTGGAAGGACACTTTACGACGAGTCTTCGTTGGAGAACGAAAATCCAAGAAATTGATGGAGCGAAAAGGATGGCTCACGGCAGAATAGTCCAAATGACCCGAGCACGATGGTGGGGGAAATTCGACTGCACCTCCCTCTATTGATATCGAGTTGAATAATTTCGACTTCCATCTCCGAATGGATATTCGCCCTCGCCAGGAACGAACTGTGGTCAAAGTGAACAGCGGTGTCAAAAACTTGAAGCCTTTGCTGGACCAGAAGACAACAGACCCCACTTGCAAGGTGTGCCTCGAGACACGGGAGCGTGACAAATTGCTAGTGAATCTTTGGCTCCAGGGACGTGGATCGATCGGCATTCCATGCCAGTCCTGGATACGCCTTCCGATTGGCATGTTGTAATCAGGTTCATCTCTTACAGCTATGAAGATGCAGGTTTCCATTTATGAGGATGAAGAACATCTCGTGTTCATGTTGCTGAACGAAGGTGCATTGTTGCAGAGTCTTTCATAATTACCAAAGTACTACACTTTGGTGGTAACGTGTCATACGCTAGAAGTGTACGCCAAGTTATCAGCATTACTTAGTTACCTTCTGTGTAAAAATGATAACTTCGTCAGACCAAATTATCATTTTCTACCAGTGTAAATACAATCACTGTAACTCCAACTTTCGACGATGATATGTGTTCTTCTATCGCAAGAGGTTCTGTGAACTACTACTATACAGAATGGTTTTACTTCAATTCGGCTTTTGGTGACTAAGGTTTCGTACTACAATTTTTATAATTTGGGTACGTTGAAACCTGCACCACTATTATTTTCTACATCAATTTGTCCGTTGGCAGGGCTTCCATCTGGTCTTTCCAGTGTGGCCTTTACCCTTCACCAATCTATTGAAGACGTTTTCACCAGAAAGGTCCAGCAGTACAAGAAGAAGGCATCGGCAATGACCTTCTCAAACAAAGGTTAAAAGGGAGACGGTAACTGAAGTGAAGGGCATGTTGCTTGATTACTTCCCCCAGTGTAGCATAATCCTACATGAGAGATGCTTTTAGGGACGCTTCAAGAATCCACACAAGTATAGATGAATTTGATAGATAGTAATTGATAAAACTGAAGTTTGCATGAATTTGCGCAGCAGTGTCAGGTCTACAGAATGTGCAATTGAGATCAAAGATCATAACCTTAAGCGGTAGAAAAATATCTACAGTTTTGCGAGAATATGTATACTTGTACATCCAGACTTCGGAATGAAGTCGGCCCGCACTAAACACAACGTACTGCCTAATACGTGCTTGTGACGATGGATTCAGACGTGGTCTGCTCTTTACAAGTGTGCAGAGGAAGGCCTCAAGCCGGAAATGGTCAAGATATGGAATATCAAGCCTCTCCCCAGTCTGATAACCTTAATGGTGAAACACCTGCTACTCTAAGGGACTGATATTTCTGTACAGACCTCAATGCAAAAAAACAAACGTAAAGCATACATTTGGGCATTTTCATCACTGTTCATCATAGGCAAAAAACGCCTGTGATGGTCGCTAGTATCAGAGGTGGTAAAAGCGCCTGAGTATTGAAGCAAAGAGAATTTATAGACTAATATTCCCCTTCCTCATCAAGGAATGCGAGCGTGATCGTATCCTTTGTAGTAAAACATCTGGATCCAGTCACCAAGCCTCCAAGCCAGAAATGCGCTGATTCCGGCAGCGACCACAAGCGGGATGCGATGAGACCAAACTTGTAGAAGAGGAGCAACTCCCACTAATACAGCAGCGAGAATGTATAGAGCTTGTCGAGCTATTCTGAAGTTCTGTAGTGCTTTGCTGCACACTTTGCAGTGCTTCGTATGCTGCAAGTGAGGAGAAGATGCTTCGTCAGTTTGGAAGATGCAAACACTCCCCTGGCTGTAGGTCCTTCGTTAAATGTTAACAGCATGACACGAAATCTCTCATGTGACTTTCATATGATTAGAGGACAAGAAAGAAAACCACGGGTTAGTGGGACTTTCCTGTTATATTCCTTACCGATTCATATCTATCAAGGAGGAGTTCCTTATTCTTTATCAAAGGTGGCAAACTCGGATCAACACCGTCTGCCCATTGAACGTTCTTTCCGCCGTGGCGATTTAACCATTGTCTGAAGGCAGAGACGAACCGATCAGCAGCACAAGGCATGAAGAATGCCTGGTTCCATTTCTCTATTTGCCCGTTTGTGCTCTCCCTTAGCAAACGCTCCTGCAGACCCACAAACAATCGAATTTCAGTGACTTAGTTGATTCCCAAATCACTTTCTAAGACTTACAAGTTCGACAGTTCTGCTCTGAATCTCCATAATTTCTGCTACAAAAACACGATAGAAGCGTTTTAAGATCATCAGCCTTGGGAGAAGAGCGAACCTGGCCATGCAGCAGAGATTCATCTCCATCCAAGAGATTTAACATTTTTTGATGATCCCACCAACGTGGTGAGATCTGCCACCACTTAGGTCCACTGGTCATAGCTTTCATAGCAAACGCCTTCCTTCCATTTGAGATCAGCACCCTCGATCCTCCAGGAGCTGTCAAACAGGTATAAAGAATGCATGTTCAAACTGATGATATATGGTTTCCATCTACGACTTGTTTTGGAAGATGTTCTACAGATCCAAAAAAAAGGACCGTCGAGAACAAATCCGTTCAAGTAATCCACCACGTTTCTCTTTGTTGCCAGTCCGAGACTGCATCAGATGACGAACTTGCAGAGAGCGAAGAACACTAGCGGCAAAGGTGAGGATGATCAGATATCGAAGAAAGGCATTGATCAGAAGACCTCGAAAGAGACGTTGAACAACTGGTCAGTGCATGTGGACAGGAAGAACTACAGCAACTAGTGCTCTCCCTTAAGCACACAATTCATGCAATTTATTCAATGGCGCAAACCCCCCCCCCCCCCCCCCACGGAGTTGAACCACCATAAGAATCCCCGCTACTAGGTCAGATACAGAGCAATACCTGTGGGTGTGACGTAAGTTGTTGTTGTTCCCATAGCCTGTCCACCAATGCTAAATACATATGTAGTTCTTGTTGGAGCTTCGAACTCTAGGAACTGTGGAGGGCCTCCAACTCGTCCCCACGGACCGTTGAATCCTTGCTGAGAGAATTCTTTGATTTCGATACTAAGAGGTTGCGCATCATCCCGTTTACCTAAGGATCCCCCATTCACCATGTGATGAGCTACTGGTACATGGCTTGGGTCCAGGAGATTCTCCATACCAGTGTCCCAACCGTAATCCACATCTCGGAAAGTTACAACAGTCTCCCACTCTGGACCGTCATGCTCTGCACCATACACATCAGGACAGCAACGGTCAAACTATGTACAAATCACGACCTTCCAAATAAGTGATTTAAAGAGATTCATTTGCTTGGACATTGGCTGTGTCAGGTCGAAGACCGGAAACACTGAGGTCTGCATCCTTAACTTCACAGTACGAAGGAGCTCTCTACATCAAAGGCGTCAGATCAAACTAAGCTTGGCAGAAGGTGATTCTCTAATATAATTAGATGAAAATGCTGTGAATCCTTACGAGGTGTGATTGGTGGTGGTGTCTTCTCTGCAAGTTCAAATCCATGTTCATCTGGCCAGATAAAGAGTATCCCTTGCGCAATTGTTGTTGGAAATGAAGTTGCGCGAGTATTGGCTGAATCGAAGCATAAAGAAATCGTCACACATCCCAACGTGGCCGAAACAAATATACAGAGCCCACAAATGCAAAAGTCAACCCTGCATATGTCCTAACAAGTGCCGAATCGCAAAATGAGCTGAACTGGATACTCACACACAGCTCTAATTTCTGGACCATCAGGTCTGGCTTGAGGGATCCGGGTGCAAGAACCATCTCCTTTAAAAGACCAAGCATGGTAACAGCATTGCAGGCACCCATTCTCATCAATTCTACCCTCGGACAGCGGAGCCAAACGATGTGGACAAACGTCGGTGAAGGTACGCCACTGAGCAAATTCTCGATCAAACCATATGACAACTTTCCGACCAAGGATCTGTCAACCAACGCAGACAAGACTCCGAGTTAAGGAAAACATTCTAGGGGAGAAATGAAATCTAATGTGAACTTTGAAATTGTGTTAACCATTGGTTTTTGAATTTTTTTGCCTGACAGCGAGATAAATGCCTAATTTGATTTAATTTGATCATTAATTTAAAACAGAGATTCACAGAGCTCTTCAGCCAACGACTACGCACTAGTTCTACGAACAGAAGCAACACGGATTGCTTCTGTTCCCTCTCACGTGGTCTTTCACGAGCATCCAAAAATACCTGCACCCATTCACGGAATTTTCCATTGCTCTCTAAAGAGCACTTGACGTTACGTGATTGCTATCTCTCGCGTGATGGTTCTCTTCTTACGAGGTACTTCGTTGCGTGATCTCTCTCTCTCTCTCTCTCTCTCTCTCTCTCTCTCTCTCTCTCTCTCTCTCTCTCTCTCTCTCTCTCTCTCTCTCTCTCTCTCTCTCTCTCTCTCGAGGTGCTTCGTTACGTGATTCTCTCTCTCGCGTGATGGTTCTCTCTCTATCGAGGTGCTTCGTTGCGTGATTGCTCTCTCTTAAGTGATGCTTCTTCTGTAAACTTCAGGTGCATGAAGACATGTTGATGCTAGGTGGTCGTGGCCCCCTGTAAACTTCAGGTGCATGAAGACATGTTGATGCTAGGTGGTCGTGGCCCCCTGATCCTGTTGGGAACTTACCATAATTTTTATTTAGAGAATCGTCCATTGTGTTCTCTCGAAAGTGGACGGTGATTACTGACTACTCAAGTTCATGGTTCATGGTTCTCTTCTTACGAGGTGCTTCGTTGCGTGATCTCTCTCTCTCTCTCTCTCTCTCTCTCTCTCTCTCTCTCTCTCTCTCTCTCTCTCTCTCTCTCTCTCTCTCTCTCTCTCTCTCTCTCTCTCTCTCTCTCTCTCTCTCTCTCTCTCGGTGCTTCGTTGCGTGATTGCTCTCTCTTAAGTGATGCTTCTTCTGTAAACTTCAGGTGCATGAAGACATGTTGATGCTAGGTGGTCGTGGCCCCCTGATCCCGTTGGGAACTTACCATAATTTTTATTTAGAGAATCGTCCATTGTGTTCTCTCGAAAGTGGACGGTGATTACTGACTACTCAAGTTCATGGTTTTTGGACTCAAATTTCAGCTGAGCGTACGGAGTCGTAAACGGATCGAACCTCAAAAGGATGAGGGACACTTTCATCCAAATCCTGCACAGGAATGACGGGATACCAGTTCGACTTCCACACGAAGCCGGCTTGCTCCTGTCCTTTGCCCTCCGGCTCTCTCGCTTCAGGCGACTGGTGCTCTCCTCGATCGTCACCTTCTTTCTGCGTGTCGGAGCCATTATCGGTCCGCGCCACGACCGGGCGAATCCATCGTTTGCTCTGACGATGCTCTTCTGCAAATTCTTGGCCGCCTCCGCGAAAAAAGGTGCTGCGTTTCACGTTCTTGTCTGAACTTGAACGTAAGGAAGGAAGAGGGCCGGAGCATGGTCGGGTGCAGGGACGTAACGAAATGCCGAACGGCACCCCATAACTCGAATCCGATGCAGAAGCTCGCTGATGCCACCTTCTGGACCCGGCATTCCCCAGCAACAATCCGCACGGATCTCCTACGGCCACCGACGCACAAACAGAGGCCATGTTCGATGTTCAGAATACACGGTTCGCTCCGGGAATCTAATACTTGAACTTCGCACGCACAATTCTCTCCAGCTTCAGCTTGCTTCCAGGCCCAGCCGGCATTGAGCGCTCAGATGAGAAAGCTGATAACACCTTGACATGGCTTGCCGTCCGCCGGGGAATCGTGTGAGAGCAGCCTGCCAGCTGAAACAATGAGACTTAATGGTAGTACGACAAGAGCCCATGCGTAAGCCCACTCGAGGAGGCTATGTTTGTAGGTAGCTCTCTAAGCATCGCCTGGACATTTCTTGTCCACCCTTCACGCCTCCCAACTCACCATGGAAGCTCCAATGTTGCTGTGCATGGGAGCTACGAGTGAGATCGATAATTACTAGAAGAGAAACCAGCAAACAGTTGGTGTCCATGCAGTTGTATGATAGTTACGTGTGAGATAGATTGAGACTACAAGAGAAACGAGACAAAACAGTATATACGCGTGACATATACCTTAAGTGCAAGTGAAGAGAAGAGAATCCAAAGAAAAGAGATTCAGTACAGTAGTCTCCCGGTTTGATACGCACCGTTTAGGTAGGCATTTTTTTTTGCAAAAAATAGGGTTTAACCCATGACATGTCGTTTATTTGGTTTACGGTCAACAATTGTTACTCCTCCTGAAGAGTTGTCGCATATTTGATTAGAAGCGTGAACCTCTGGTGGCTGATATATACTCGTTTAACATTAGAGACAAACTCTCATAGTAGAGAAAAAAACAAACCACTTTCGCAAAATGAAAAAAAGATTATATCATTTTTTTGAGGTTTTAGATTATATTGGGCTATAAAAGTTAATGTTGCTAGAGTCCATGAAAAATTTCAAATCACTCTCCTCGATGCAACACCTTTACAACTCACTTGGCAATTGAATATTACTTAGCAATTACAAATATGTGCTGGAGTCCATATATGAAATCAATAAACTCAATGCAATATTATTTTTATTTGGCGGTGTTAATAGATGTTTGAAGAGTGAGATTACAAAGTCTTCTCTTTAACTTCATCATACATTGACTTAATTTAGCTTTGTGATTTGTTGCGTTTGTCTCATTTTCATGATCAAGTCACTTGCAAGTTCGAGCTCTTCCAATGGAATCATGATTTTGCTCAGTTTCTCTATGATATCAAATAGTGCCGAGTCATTTAGGAGTGTTCAGATAAGGTTACTTTGACATTACATTCAAATCAAACGATTAGGAAGTCAATTTTCTTAAGTACGCACATCACTCCCGGGTTCAAAGTGCCTACTTAACCGGGAGACTATTGTACTTCTGTGTAAAGTTGTTTTGATCCAATAGGTTATATATGTTTGGTGAACATTGTGGCCCACAATGGCCCAGAGCTAGAAGCGTCCCTCTATGACCCCCACAATTTGTGGGGGTCATAGAGGAACGCTTCTAGATGGCAGTCCTTATCAAAATGCACGTCATGTTTCATTTTCAATTGAATTTACATGCGAGTTACATTGTCCATGTAAACAAAATTAGTTATAAAGCTTTATATGTTTTAAGAGTTTTATTTCAGTTTTTATAATGAACAAAATAGATGTTTAAAATCTGAGAGTTTCTATTAGCTCTATTTCTATTCATCAATCATCTTAAATCTATAATTTTGATTTCTTATGTCAATGTAAACTAATGTTCACCAAATTTACATTAAAATTAAAATAATTAATATAAAATTACTTTTAAGTACTTCTAACTCTAATTATATACAAAGTCAATAATGATTTTTGAAGTTCCTAAAATCTCTAAAATAATAATTTTAATCAAAATGATTAGTAAATATGAAATATTTGATTAAATCTATCATTTTATCATACACACTATTTTTCTAAAATTATCAATATGTTTCATATCTGATTAATATTATATTTAAAATATTCTGACGGTGAAAATGAAGATTCGTAATGTTTTACATTGAAATCATATTTATTTTAACAAGTCTATCTAACCAAATGAAATCTTTTTTTATTTCCACTATCATTTTATACGATTATGTAATATATTATATATTTATTTTGCAATGTAAATGTCTAACTTTAATTTCAAGTGTAAATCTGTACATATGAAATTATAGATTCATTTTATCTTAATTTTTTCCATTATTAATATCTAAGTAACTAGTAAATGATTTGACATTTTGCATTAAACACAAACCAAAATTCATTGTATGTTGAATTATTGAAATTTCCATTCCATAACTATTCAATATATTTTTTATGTTAATTTTGATCATAACATGAGAGTGTCGCACCTACATCAAATCATGGACAACATGAAACTTCCTACTTACTTATCATAATATGAGCTTGGAGATAAAAACTAATACTCTATGAAAGCTCGTGATTAATCACGAGCATTAAGGACGATCTGATAATCATCACGAGCATTAATCACTGATATTGTTACGAGGTATTACATTTGTACACAAAGGTATATTCAGCCTCAAGGTGTCCTCTGAATGCCATTAGCTAGTAGCCTACTTCCATGCAAAGAAGCTCATATTCACCACGTTTTGTGTCTCGGACTGTGGCCGGGATCCTGACGATGTTTTAATGGACGACAACTTTCCATCAATATCAACTTTCTTGCAGGCAGTTCTTGAGAATCACATTAATCGTCCTCGTTCTTCTGCCAAAACCATTCATTTGTGATAATGAACAAATTTAGATAAAATATTCTTCAAACTCAATGTTCAATTGTTACAGAAGTGCAAAAATTCAAATGTTCTTGTTTTCTTACCCCGAACAAGAAGTTAATGACATGATCGCCTATTCTCGTGTTGTCGCTTAGGGCCTATTTCGTGACATTGTCTGTTATAAAGACCAGCTTTGAAAGATGACGTTCAACACAGCCAGCAATGCACATTGAAGAATCTGCTTTCACCGCATCTCTGTGGCGTAAACTATGATTCTTACTACATCCATAGGCGACGGTAGAAAATTTCATTCTTCCCTCACTTCTGTTTCAAATACAGAACTATCGCCGATGCAGGCTTCTCCCATAATTTGCACACATCATACTCTTTACGTACTCAGTTGTAGTAATACCAATAATCTATCTGTCTGTTCCACTCCACACTTCCATAAACTTTTCAGTAGCAAGAATTTTCATCAACTCCAAGGTGTCGTGAACTGTCGGCTTTAGGTGCACATTTCAGATAACTTTTCAAAATCTTAGTTTGATGTGAGTCACGGGACTCGAGATTCAACACTAAACGTGTGAATTAACTTCAAATAAGAATGAGGTGAATTGATATCCTACATTAAACATTCGGATCCAACATTCATCGCACTCTACCCTATCCTCCCTGCTTCGTCCCCGGTTTGTGTCTGTCAGAAACTCCTTGTGGCTCTATTAACACAGAAATGTAGACAAGCACTGCCCGGATGATGTCCGGCACATATAGCATGACCAACTACGGTCCATGAAGCTTCTAAAATACTCTGACGCAGGCCAAGATGTTTAGTACACATGTAATGAAAGCGGTGATGGATGCAGGATATACAGATGACAAATCTTGACTAAGCTGCTAAAAACTCCCACGGATAATCCAGCAATGTTATTCTGCACTTCGTAGTGTAAGCAACTTGAATGTTAAGTTAGAAAACTGACAAGAAGCCAGCCACGTAGAGAGCCGTTCACTATGATACATTTCGTGGTTCGTAACCCGAGCGAATTATCTATTACTATCAGTGCAGGCTCGGCAAAATTCACAACCCTGCAAACTCACTGAAGAGAATATTTCAGTAACAAATGTTTCACTGGACAAAATTGTGGAACAAATGTGATACCTGGTTGTACAGCTCGAGAACGACCAAGAGAAACTGTGAACCACCTTCCGTCGTTTGAGAAGAGTCCAAAACTTAAGTGACAGATGCTCCTCTAGTCACCAGAAAGATTAACTAGCAAAAATACTACACAGTAATTATGGTCCTAAGTAATACAAGAGCACCTATTGTGCTTGCTAACTTGAGGCTTTCTTCTCCTTCTTCTTTTTCTTCTCCTTCACCGCCCCGTTATCAGCTTCCTCCGCGGCTTCGGCAGCCTCTGCCTTCCTCTTCTTCTTCTTCTTCTCTTCCGTGGCTGGAGCAGCCACCTCAACGGCTGGGACATCCTCGCCAGATGTGTCCTTCTTCTTCTTTTTCTTCTTCTCGGGCTCTGCCACGACGGCCACTTCCTCGACGGGAGACTCCTCTTCTTTCGACTTCTTCTTTTGCTTCTTGGCGGGAGTGGGTGTTTCAGCTCCCATGGTCGAATCCGCGGCAGGGTTGTAGGCCTTCGCAGGAGTAATCAGTGAGGACCCAGTCTTCTTGTCCTTGTTGTACGCCTCAATTTTGCCACCCGGACTCTTCCCGGTACCGCTGATCTTTCCTAATGCTCTGCCCTCCAGCTGCCTTAACCTGGCCTCCACCTTCAGCCTGTTCTCCAATCCTATAGTTGCCTCATTCCCTTCACCCAATGCGTCCAGTCTGATAGACAGAGCAGACTTGGCAGCTAGAATTCGAGAGATTTTACCCTTGAACTTTGGTGCAGCTTGTCCGATGAGGGAAGCGTGGTAGATAAGCCCGTACTTGGGAGTCTCGTGCTTCGTCTTGAGAGCCCTGAACAGCGCTTTCTCTGCACCGAGAATTTGAACGGTACTGGCTGGGTGCTTTGCAAGATTGATCAAACTTCCGGCGTGGGCGATCAGACGGGCACCGACAAGCTCTCCTACAAGCACCGTCAAATTCGGTGCGATTGCATTCATCCTGCTCCTCAGATAATCGAAAAGCTGGCCCCTGTACTCAGACAAGGCAATGACTTGATCACAAAGCGATTTGATGTTCACCATATCCTGCTCGCTCACTTCGGTTCCCATGGAAATCACGGCAGCATCCTTCAACTCCTGCTCCAGCTCCTCTGCAATGATTCCTGAAAAATCGAGCTGGGCAGCATTTATTCGACTGCCCATCAGCTTGCAGCACTTAGCATACTGTATGTTGTCCTGGATGACCTTTCCCAGCTCGGGGAAATGCCAACCGTACCATTCTCTCACTCGCATGGCGTAAGTGTTCAGCTCCTTGTCTAGATCGTCCAGGAGCCCAATGGCTTGAACAATCATGGTGTCCACCTTGTCTGGACTAAATTTCAGTTTGTACCTGGACAAACTGTGAGACAATCCCAGACTCATTGGGGCCATTTCGTATCCCTCAAGACCAGTGATAAGTGAACCGGCCATAGAACGGAGTCCCCTCATAAGCTCCATGATCGAACTGTTGTGCACACAGTCGATTGCCAGCTTCTCCTTGATAATGTTACCCAACTTCGAGTCAGCAAGGGCAAGCGTTTCCCCTTCACAGTTTGCCTTCAAGAATTTCCTCAACCCCTTACTGAGTTTACTATCAACTAATGCAGTGGCAGCTCCCAGGGCTTCCGTAGTGTTGGCGAACTTGCTGAACGCCTTCAGCTTCACAACTTTCCTGGCGGCGTCTTGAGTCTCGAAATCTTTCCATAAATCCTCGACTTTGTCGAGCTTCCCCTCATCCAGCAGCTGGAAGAGGGCAAAGCCCGCAGGCGTCTCGAACAGCACCAACATTTTGACGACCTCCGAGCTAAACTCTCATACGCAATACACAACCTCAAGCTCAAATATCTGTGTGCTCCACTTCTCGACACAACGACTGATAATCAAGCCCCAGACGCTTGCGCCAGCCTCTAAGCCCGGCTCAAAATCTCAAAAGACTCTAGGCCACAGCACATTCGAGTTTAAAGCATATAGAAAATGTCTCCATGCTAGAACCCTAAAAACCCCGCAGGCGTCTCCAAAATCACTTCAGATTTTGTTACCCTCCAACGCTACACAACTCTCGGGAGCAGGCGCAGGTAACAGCGTACTACAGTCCAGTCAGAAGCTGAACTCCCACATCAGCTGAACTTGGAAGGAAACAAATACTTCTTCCTCGTTTGCCTGCCTGTTGTTCAAACCGAGTGTTAGGGTTTCCAGTCTGCAGACATTCACAATCGACCTAACATTCAGATGCACCACATCCTAACACGAACTGGAGTCTTAACTGCTGGACGGAGCACTTAGGGTTGAGGGTTTTGCAGCCGAACCAGTAGCCGTGCCTCAGGTACGTCAAGGTTTCCTTCAGGGTTTGGGAGGAACGGGCACATGGCTCCAGGTTTTGCGCCTTACGCCTCATTGAATAGGGAATGTCCAGTTCGAGGGTTTTGTCTTCTTCCTGCTCCATATCCTTCGCTTGTTCCCCGTGCTGGACTTGTCTTGCCTCTTTTAAAGTTCTCTTTGACTGGGCAGAGTCTTCAGTTGAAGAGCACATAGTTGTAGAGCTCTTTGGCTCAAATGCCTGGCGTGACATAGGTATTTTTAACTTTTTAGGTCAAAACAATTTATGATTGTAACAGAGTATAAGTTAAATCCATCACATGCAGTATCTGCTCATGATAATTTGGCTTCCAAGTTTTGCGTACCATTCTTCTGAATAGGGATAGGTTTGCAAAGCTTAGAGAGCATTCAGAACCATCCCACACAAAGCAATACGCTTTGAAACTGTGGTATTTTGTGAGCTGCTCCTCGGTCATTCACTAAGTTCCCCGACCCTTCAAGATCCCATATACACCCTACCCACGATGGCTTCTATCCAATATAAGTAGAACAGGTGTTCATCACGGCTTTGACACTAATTTCATACTCTCAGTTTGACCCAGAAGGATGCAACGGAATTTCTGATATAGGTATTCTCTCAGGGCTAATTACACGCCCAGACACCTCTTTAGGTCTTCCAAAAGTTCTCGTGTCACTTTTCTTTCCGGCCTACTCTAGAGAGTTATGCAAGACGTTTTCGTGCAGGTTCTCTCAAACTAGTGTAGACGGACCTCCATTCATGTCATGACCATAGCTTACAGAACGCTTTGTGCGAGCTCCAAAATCCTCGTCGGTCAGTCAAGGTGGATTCTACGCAAAGCAGCTTATGCAAAATCTGAGATTTTCCAACAGCACAATCTGGCACATGGTCCCCACTCAAGAGACTGGCAGGGCTCTCGAGGTTTCAACAAATTGCTGGCTTTGTGGCCTATTCCTTGTTCTAGATGGTCACAGATCGCTCGACGGTTCACGCCTTGTAATTATATCGGCAGCTTGTAGTAAACAGTGGAAATACAGTATTATTTTCACCTTCGAGATTGACAATCAATATGTACTCACTACTCGAGGCTCGAAACACAGCTCATTCAACTTGAGAATCAACCTGTTACTTGCATTCAATCTCATCTAACAGGTACAATTCTTTCTCAAGGACTGTTGAGAGCTGCGAATGACCTGGTCTTCCTCATACACGTCACGAATGCTGAATATTTGGCACTCGAGATAGTGAAACCCTCACCGTGATGGATCACTGGGAGCCATCATATACAAGATGGTAAATTTTCACAGGAAGGAAGGTAGCTTCACAGCTTCGGACAACACTTACTGACACTTGTCTACACTTATATGACCAAGTATTACCACGAACTAGAAGATCAAATCACCAAATCTATTAAGAAAAAGTAAAGTTGTGTGCTAAAACGGAAACGCAACAACTTAGCACTATTTCAGCGAACTGAAGGAGCTCTTCCACATACTCACAATTTGACAAATAAAGTAAGGTTGACAAACATGTAAGATCGGCCTCAATGGGGACACATTTTTGCAAGGCTAATTATCAGAATATATACCCAGCTAGGTTTCATACTTCCAACTCACCATACATAACCGAGAAAAAATCCAAATCAATAAATAAGCCGCAAACGGATTTCTTTCAGACTGCAAAATTCTTACACTTGATCAAACCCTCATAAAACCATGGGGATGACATCAAGATCTCATTGTCCTAAAATTAAGGATTTTAAGTCACAGTGTTCATGTATATCTAAGCCATCTTCACCTTGGAAGATTCTTCAGCAACATGCGATAGTGTCAAGTAACCTGTTACACAGGTAAATACTCCGAGGAAACCAAGAACCTTCAAGGTGATGAAGAGATTCAGCTGCAAGAAAATAATTTGTAAGCCTTAGAACTGGAAAAGGATGAAAGAATATGCAATAGTGACGCATTTCAGGAACAAAGACAGAACTTGATGCAAAACAGTCGGTCAATTAAAATTACCTTGAGCCAGAAGAAAAAGTATAGAGTGAGGATAGCTGCAATGCCTCCATGGAAGCCCAAAGTAGATAGCAGAGGTAGGCCAGACGTGGGTAGGTTCTTGATGTTGGCACCCACATATCGAAGCTGATCATGTGACGAAAGCGAACGAGTCAGAAAGATTCTACTGATGGAGAATAATGTTCGCTGGTCACAAGATTGACATACTAATGCCTGCTAAAGGTACAGTGATTAGGAAACACCCAACAGCAAACAATAAACGTTATATAAAGTTCACTTACCCCCACAACAAAGCCAACAAGAGGCAGCAATGTGAGAATAAAGAACGCATTTGATAACTGTGCTGGAGGACGCTTCTCTGGTTGCCTGAAAATATGGACAATTTCTGCCTTTGGGCCAAACTTTTTGGTTGCATCCACTGGGACAGCTGGTACCTTCGAAACACCCTCAGGTGCCTCTGGCAAATCTAAATCCAAGGTTCCAAGGGCCCACAAGAACGAGTTTTCCTGTAGATGTCGAAGTAGGCATCTGTGTTACTAAAAACGGCATGACACAACGAAGACACTGTAAACTAGGCAAATGTGTGTAGAGTCCATCTCCGAAGACGTAAGATACTTGGACATTAGCAAAGCGATTTGAAGATTGGCAAACCTGAATATGTGAAATGATAGGAAGTTGGTTAGCAGTCTTGCACCTATACTAGACAATAGTTCCCAAAAGAAAGCTAGAGCAACTCCGTGCTAAGAAGGGAATTGACATACCATGGTTGCATCGCCGACAATAAGCTCCATGGAGTAAGCACCCGACAAGTAGTAAAATTTCTCTACAAGACCAAGGAAATCCTGCAAGAAGAAATTGTCAACAAACCATTCAAACAAGAAACTTTCTGGCAGACGGATAGGCTAAAATCGTATGCTTCTGTATCCACTATAGCGTGAGCGAAGCCTATGCTTACACCGACGACACGTAGGATATAACACGAGGTTTCTTCGAATCTTTGGCAAACCAATCGAGAAAATGTGAAAACATACCAATAAGGTACGAAGTACGCAAACGTACCAAATTGATCTCGAATTTCTTCGCAGATGACTTTACAACAAACAGGTGTTCCACTCCACTTTCATGCTGCACTTTGAAGAAGACCTGAAAGTAGACATGCTGATTTAGCTTGCTGATCGATGAAGATGGTAAAGATTCAAACTCGAGTTTAGGACTAAAAGAGATAAAAGCTGCAACCAAAAAAATAAATCACACCTGTTGTGGAAGAAATAGTCCACCCGATGGGGAGGTGAGCTCAAAAGTCAGTCGCAGCTTTTGCAGATGGTTTGCAGAAAGGGTAGCTTTTTCCTTGTTTGCATGAACCAACCTGGAACAGTATTTCATCTCAATTGTTCGTTTTGAAAATATCATCACTGGTGAGCAAAAGTAAGATGCCAAAGAAACTATCAGAAGTTATTACTTTGCACCAAAAGATGACCTATTCATTGTCTACTCACTTACGAGGAGGTAAATTCCGGGGATCCAGTGTCACTGTCAAGCACAGCAATGGCCACATTTGAAACAGAGACTTGTCCGGTTACAGTAATCCGAGCACTAGTAAGACCTCCAGCAGAATACTTGTATGAAAGCTCTGCTGTGGCTGGCTTCACCTGTACATCCCCACATAAGTTACGTCAAGTGTGATTCTGCTACTAAGATTGCCACAGGCAGACTGAAATATTGGATTCCACACTCCGGACACACTTCGATATCAAAGAACCTATTTTCAGACTGATACTACGGGCTACGGATGCGTACTATTCGAATTGCGTCATTTATTACCTCAATCTTTATATCGTATTTGCCAACATCAAGGTCTGTTAGAAGGGGAAATGTGTATATGTGATCTCCTTCAACTGATTGAAGTTCCTGATATCAAAAACACAGAAATGTCTTCATTTTCGGAATAGACCATTATCATGAGAATCAATAGAAGAGATAATAGAAGATAATGAAATATCCTGTAAACCAACAGAAACAAGAGATCTCTCAATAAACTTAATGCGTTTCAAACGACTAAGTGAAGTTAATGACATCGATAACACGTTAATTTTGTCCTTCCTTTAAGGAAAAAGCGAAGTCAGGAAAGCCTTATCCTGTACACCGAAATAAGTACCATAACTTGCAATACAATAAAAACGCTAGAAAACTTAGCAGATTGCATCTGCTTCACTGAGAAAATACCATATCCTTTTAGTACCTGCTCCGTCAAAACAGGTGAAGCTTCCTTCCCGACTTTATGTGCACTAATGATAGTAAGCAGTGCATGGGGGAAAGGAGTACCGAGGACTGTTGAGACGGCCACCTGCAACGCAAGAACCATCCCAAAACTTCAACCAAAACACGATGATATCGTTTGGCAAATTTCGTACGAAAGTTTCTTAAAAGTTCATAACCTGCAAATCCTAGGCTGATTGAGCAATATTTAACGATACTATATGAGAATCGGCATTGCTTTTAATCAAGAGAATGCGCTGTTACTATTCAAGCAGAGTGGCCGGGAAGAAACAAACAAGAGATGAGAGGAATGTGTCAAAAATAATTAGATTATTACGTAGGAAAAGACGAGACAGAAACCCAAAACAGGAATTCAAACATCACTAAAGCAATTATGAATGGAAAAAATTATCCTCAGGTCGAACACTTCAGAAGGACGTTGCCCTACATCCAGCAATATTCAACTACTCATCTAACATTACTCACCTCTAACTTATCATGTGATGAGTGAGATAAGACGGACTTTGTCAACGAAACAGCCAAAGGGACAAGAACCCTGCAAGAAATGGAAATTACTTGAGTTAAAACAAGAGACTAGAGTATAAAGATTGCAAATTAAAACCCAAGTACAGGAGGAGATACAGATTTCAGCCTGGGCTACGAAAGACACTGCACAGCCATTATACAGATAACATCAGACGTCTGACTTGCTTAGTGTAAGCAGCCATCGCTACAAACTGTCCTATTGACGCCTATTCAAACCCCAAGCTCGCGGAAGAGAGCTAACCGATTGTCTTCTAAAGCACTCAAAGCATCCAGCTGATAGTACACTTCCAAGGCGCTGTCAGGGGTTCCGATGCTCAAAAAGAAGTGCGCGAAGCCAAACACTTTCTCCTCCCTGACCTGAAATAGACACAATAGTAAAGTTTTTTAATCATCCAACTACTATTCAACGTTGCAGAGTTCTTCTGACTATCTCAAGAGCTTGTATCTGCATTTGTACTGCAACATATGTCTACCTTGATTCCATCAGGTAGAACTCCAGCCAATGCCGTGACACCTCGCAAGACGGTGGCGGAGACCACCAGTGCCCCACCACTTCCGCTGAACTTATCAGCTTTATTCTCATCAAAATATTGTGCTCCATCGTCTGTTTCACACATTCAGATTTCTAAGTAAGAAAAGACTTCTTATCTAAACCTGCTTGCTGGAAACAATATTTTTACACAAAGTTCGTTTACAATGAAGATGTCTATTTCCAAATATTCATAACACCAAGGGGGCCCATATAAGAGAATCTTCAGTATAAAAAGAGGAGCTGAACGAGCTCAGACTATACATTCATTCAATCTACATTCAGAGCTCAGGTTCTAAAATCAAAGGACGTACCATCCCGCTCAGAATTCTCCAAGAGCTTCAGAGCAGCAGATTTTATGGACTTTACCTGTTGTGAAAAAGGTATCCAGATTTCATAAGTAAACGTACAAGAGAATTAAAATCTGCGCCCTTGCTAATGGCCAGATTGAAAAAAGAACGAGTTGATACTCAACAAAAGTTGGCGACCAAAGACTAAACACCAATCTGGAAGAAATACCTCTGCTTCATGACCTTCGTAACCGGCAATATCAATGACGGCAGCGGTGATCTCAAATGCATATCCTGCACATCGTTACACCTTCCCACGTTTGAGCTCGCCATACTCAATCGTTTGAAAAGCAAAACATACGCGAAATCCAGTATAACTTAGTTCTCCTAGAAAATGCTTATAAATGTAAGGTGTCTCCTGGTTTTAAAGAAAAATCACCAGCAGCTTTAGCGCTTGAATCTGTTTCATCTTCTGCATAACGCCAGGTTCCATGATTTTCTCCAAGTGCCTGTAGTAAAACCCAACACCAACCAATATGGCACGAAAATTACTCAGCCTGCGAAAGATGAATGTAACTCTTCTTAACCCAAAGACATGTAATCCTATCTCAAAACACCCGACTGAGCTACAGAGTTCTGAAAGACGTTGATACTAGAGTCTTCAGACTGTTTGTAGAAGCACAATGTGCGGAAATATGTAACGGATACCTACAGGGAGAACATTTTAAAATAAGGGTGTAAATCACCTTGACTTGTGAAATGATGCCCGTGACAGCTTGCGCGAATGAGTGACTCTCCAGACTCCAGTGGTGTTTCTGATGACAATGAGTACGAGGTAAGTTAATGTGCAACAAGGTCTGAGTAGCTTTTCAGTAAGAGCATAGCACCCGAAAGCTTCTGATGGTCATTACACTACCGAGTAGATCAGGCAATACCTTTATTGTCGATAGTGCACCAACGGTATAATGTAAGTCCACTAAAGACTTGGATTCCTTCAAGCCATCTAAAAGTGTGTGGACGACAGTCTGCAATAGTCACGATTCATAGCGATTGTTCAAAGAAGATTTCCGGCAAAAAAATAACGCTAATTGGCTCAAGAATATATCCCACCCAGACGGACATAATTGGATCTTGACAAGTACACAGGCTACGTAGGATTTTTGCTCGCAAACTGAAGTAAGACCCCTTGCTTTCAAATGAAGATGCCTACTAACATTCTTCTTTAGCTCGAACCAATTGCGAAGAAGATAAATTGCTCTACCTCGGCAGCTTTGGCTGCCTCTTGACAGTGCAAAAGCTCAGCAATCCTAATTCCATAAAACGCATCCTTGGCACTTGAGGATGAGGTGAGTGTCTTCGAGACGACTTCGCAAATTGTCGATCCATCTAGGTCACCGCTCTTGAGAGCCTTCAATGACTTCACTGCTTGGTATGTCTCCTCCAGGCTGAGCAGTCACGAAGAAAGTCAGCGCGGAGTGAAAGAGTCAAACGTAAAGACATCGATCGAGGGCCGTGCTCGCTGAAAAATACCTGAAGTACTATCCCGGTGAGAAAAGATAAACGAAGTACTCACCTGCCAAACGATCCATCGTCACGGACAACAAAGAGCTGCTTCGCTGCAACTTTCTCAGCCTCGCTTAATGGATGCAAGGTCGCAACAGCAGAAGCTACGATGCACAAAAGCGCGACAACCAGCACTTGCATTACTAATACAGGCATGCCTGCCATTATCTCTGCACCTTTCTTTCGATCGATCTTCAACCGATCGACTGGCCGGACCGAGCTGCTCTCGCTTGCTCTCCGGTGCAAAGAAAGCAACGGCTGAAACCTCAGACTCCCAGATCTTCTTCGGCCTTCCCTTCGTCGGGGAATGGGTGTCGGTCTCTTCTCCTGAACTCGCAGCAAGACCGCGACCGGCTGCGTTACCACGTCGTCCGCATGCGGGCTGGCCGGCCTGATGTCTTAATTAGAGTTTTCATTCCACAAGTGTGTTTTGCAGAATCGTCAAGCGGCATGTGGTAGATAGCAGTCTTACACATGAACAAACCCAATATGCCCTAACGTGGGATATTGTTCCATTAAGACATTCAAGACAATGTTATAAACGTGTACACTACTAATTCACTGGTAGAACATCCAATGTTAATCTTCATCACTCGGATCAAAATTTCTATCAACTAGGGTTCAAAAATAGACTCTCCTAAATGTCATGCGTTCATATATATATAAATCACTTATTGATTAACAATAGATTGTATAATCATGTATTCTTCATGATGATTTAAAAAGCAAAGAACATATACTTATCCTGGAATTTTCTTGTCATGTAAGCAAAGAACATATATACCCAGACTTGAATGTTTGATAACTTTGTATCTAGTATTGATTTAAACTTTGCTATATCATCGATATATATTTTCCAAATAATGAATAATAGATTTTGTTTATCTCTCAACCTTTCATGGAAAAAACATCGTATCTTTTATCAATCAAATGAGATTTGATTGATTTGACATGTTTGAAATTTATGAATCGAATGTGATGAGTTTAGAATTAAAAAAATTTGTCATAACATATCATAATTCTCATACATCTCTTATAAGAATATGATGGACAAGAAAAACTAAGATATGGATTTATACGCTTAATTTTGGTAGAGGAATATTAAATGGAACAACTATGAATTAGTCATAGCTGAAAGAATCTATTGGTTGACATTAACGATTGAAAATTGAACAACATAGTCTTCAATACTAGCTAATTTACACATATGTGAGACAAAATCTTAGATTTTGGTTATCAAGATTTTTTATAAAATATGTTACAACCATATTCTAACTAAAGTAATAAGTTGATATATAAATGCTTACTTAATTAATGATTAAAAATTAAAATATTTTTTATCAAATAAAAAAATAATTATTCAGAATATCAGTTGTAATATTGATTTTCATTCAAATTTGAATACAATTTTTGAATAGATTTAATGATTAAAAAGTGTTAAGTTGTAACAAAAGATACTAAGGAAAAAATCAGCTATTTAATTTTCAATATCATCATTCATAAACATGATTTTAGAATTGAATTATATACAAAATATATCTTCAATCATGATGGGCTTCAGCTAGATCTGATTAATTTAGAAAAAAATATTCATATTTCAATATATATTGAATGTAAAATTAATTATGTATATATTATTTGAAAACTTATATTATTATAAGTTTGTATTAGATTTATAAATTTATTGACATTAAAATAGTAAAAAATGTTGTCAAGCATGTGGTAATATGTAATTTCTGTTTAGATAAAACTTTACATGAAAATTTTACCTATTACCACGTTTTTATGCTCAAAAGATATAACTAATTTTTTGTATAAATGAAATACATTAAATTAAAGATGGTTGTCTACTCATGTATACAAAATTCATAAAAACTTTGAACTATGAAATAAACAAAGTTGTGCAAGAAAAATAGTATATTCGTGTATGTGTATCATGAAAAACAAATAATTTTTTTCTTCATTTTAACTGAATAAAAGAGAGTAAGCAAAATGGATATAGATAATTTTAAGTAGATCAATCACAATAATTCCACTCTTGTATATTAAAGCTTACATCTCTTCATGAATACTGACAAAAATTGTGATTTCTTCAAGTAAATCCTTGTTTGTCAGAGACAAAAGCGGCCCCCTAGAAAAAAAGGTTTCAGTCACTTGTTTCTTTTATTTTATGAAAAATAACCATCAACAATAATCAATCAATTTCCACAAGCCTGTCAACATTGATCATTTCAAAATGTTTAAAAATTCCCGTTCAGAAGTAATAGAATTCTTTATATTTGAACTATTTTACTGAAATTTATTTTCAATAAAATAAAATATTTAATAGCAACCAAATGCTAAATCACAAATTCTATGAATTTTTGTTTCTATCAAGCCAGCTAGTTTTGACCATTTCTATTTTTTCTTGTCAAAATTAATAAGATATATTCTGAAAAAGAGCAAATCAAATCTACTAACTAGAACACAACACAATCAACACAGATTTGCAATTTCAGATTTTATGATAACTAGCATAAACATAAACAAAAGACATGAATAATTCTTATAATTAATTTTTCTTTAACCTCAAATTGATAAAGAAAAAATTTAAGTACAAAAAAAACTTGAAGTTTTTGATTCTGAATTAAACCAAAATACCAAAAGAAGTTTCAACTATTAATTGAGTATAATGAAACAGTTAATCATATACAATAAATGTTGTATGTTGTTGTATAATAATAGTGTAATAGTTAGTTAGTAGAGATAACAAGTACAAGTTTGCAAGAGCAAATATAATTCAATATCATACTATACAAATTGCAACATTATGCATGCTATAAATATTATCTAATTAAATTGATGCAAACAAACATTTTTTTGATTTTTTATTAATAAACGCATTATTTGATATAATAAAAATGAAACATGATTGGACATTATATATGATTTGATCTGCTTTCAAAAATATATCTGAATAAAAAAAAACATTATTTGTTTCTAAGATCAATATACACATAAAAATACGAATCTTGAAAACAACATATTTAGATTAATTGATCAAACATCTCTTTTAGCATCTCTTTATCAAATGTTTTGCTTTTAAAAAAAATATTTCCTGCCTACACATCAATTTATTTGAAGAAAGCTGATTTTGTAAATTGAAATTATCTAACAACATCATAGTTTCACAATTATCAATATTGCCACAAAGGATGCAATTTTAAATTCTATAAAAATGTGGATATCTTCTTGTATTTTAAGTTTATTTTATTCATACTAAAATCTCATTTTGTTTCATTTGAATTCATAATTTGTATATGTATTTTTCAATTGCATCTCATCTATTTTTTTGCTTCAATCATACTTTAAATTTGTAGGATTTTTATTTAATCTTATCACGTTACTAGATATGTTGTAAACTTTTCAAAACCTTTTGGTTATTTCTTGTGCAACATTATTCTTTTATGTGTTGTTTATAGCATGAAGTTCATTTTTTAGAGTGACAACAATTATTACAATACCTGTATTCCTCCTACTACCACGTAGTAATTCAAGTTAAATTACTTAAATTAACAATTTCAAATTTTTGGCATTAGCTTCTCCTCGTTAGCCATTGATTTTTATTTGTATCTATTATAGCTAACTTTGAAACTAAAATTATATTCTGAATTTACACAATATTGCTAATCTTGCAACTACATTACAACTAGACATCTATATTTCCCAATACTATCTATTTGATCATTTCACACATGTCACAATTATGACTATACTACTCATTGCCAATTCTTATACTAATGAGACAAATTATGATATCAATCATATGCATATTATTATCCAATGCTATGATTTATTTCACGAATGCATAATGAATGGGTGGAAATTGTACAAGTCTGCCCCATAAAGATAAGTGTCACATATATTCTCATGTAGAGTAGAGTAGTAGGAAAGCAGATGAAATATTCTCGTGACTCATACATGATTTAACATAAATCTCTCACTCAATTGAAATGTAGAACCCAAAAGAGTAACACAACCTTAGAGCAAATGTGAGTTGTTTAGTGAGTTAATTTCAGCTAAGTCAAAACAAATTTGACATTGTAGAAAATTTAATTCCACTTTCTTTCTTGTGGTTTCATGAATCCATTATTAAATCACCCACACACTCTATTATCATCCCCAATTGTACAAAAGTTGTGATTTGATATTTTCAAAGGATTATTACAATTTTCTTATTGTAATCATAACACAAGAATAAATATAACTAGAAGTATACACCAACTCCAATAAACTCTAGTATGGATTGCACAAGCTGGTGGTGCATTTGGAAAAATGGATACAATTGATAAACAATTTTATACATTCAGCTAGAGAAAATATGATCCATGTCAGCTACAACGATATTATCTATGATGTTTTCTCATCATCAGGTAAAAGTTGGTGTTTATAGTTTGATCTATAATTATATGTCATTGTGGCGCTCATCTAGAGAAAGTACGAGCAATCAACACCCAAACCAAGAGCTATAGCAAAAAATGTGAGTACCCAATCAAGCATGACATAGGTGAAACCAAAGAGGAAAGATGGGCTGGGCACCAAAGTAGTTTAGTACGCTAAACTACTTGCGAATTAACTTTCTTCTACTTGTATTCATCAATAAATTTAAAGATGTGAGGATGGGGCCAAGTAAATGGCCAAAAAAATAAAAATGGAACACCCGTTTGAGCCGCACAAATATGAAAACGAACGTGAACCACAAACTAATCCCAGAGAGTATTATAATAAGGGAAAATGTGTCATACACTATAAACATATCGCACATCCAAACAGTCTTAAAAACAAGTTACTTCAACTTAAATTCGCCAATCATAGGGAACAACTCGATGATGAAAAAAGAAGAATAATATCACTAGTCTATTGTAGACCGGCATCAAGTAGACTGTTTTTTTGAAGAGCACATCACCCCGAGTCAGAAGGTCGAATCAGAGCAATACCGTCTTTGTTTTTTCTTTAGATTCAAATTTGGGAAAGAAAAATTGTTGTGCTCTTCGAAATACATGCCTTATCTCTAGATTCACTCGCTTTTGATTATGGCAGTTTGATGCTATTTATAGCAAGTAAATGGCTCGTTTTACTCTTGTAGTGCTGGTAATAGCTCTCCGCGGCAAGAGACTGAAGACAACCGGAGATTGCCGGGTTTCTGACCGGAAGAACAGTCCCCGTGTCAAAATGATCCTTCCACGTTATTCGTGCGTTATTTGTTGGTGAAGAATAGAAAGGTATGCAAGGGTAATCTTTGCATATACTGTACATGCTTTGTGGAATCTAATCAGCTCTCGGGTCATTTCACTTCCCTCGACGGCCCAAGATCGTCCAAGAAGGGTGTTGTTATATTGAAGTGCTCCGATATAAGTTCCATAAGAACCGCAGGAGATAACTCCTGAGACAGTTGAAATAACAAACAGCAGATTGCGTACAGACGGGCCCGATTCTAGATTTTAAAGCCCAAGGCGGAGAGAAACCTGGTAGGCGTGAACGTTTGTTAACTCCAGGGCTTGGGGTGGTGGTGTCAGAGAAGTAGCTTACAACGAGTAGCTCACGCAAACGTCTGAGAATTTTGAAAGTTTCAAAAGGATTGAAAACACGAATACATAGAGTGCATGCTGTGGCACCGAGAAGGATTGTCTCGAACGTTTGGAGCCACCGGAAAGGAGCTTCATGACTTAAAGGTTGAGTTGCTGTCCCGACTGTGTGTAGCACCTTTTCGATAGGTACTCAGGCTTGGGCTTACTCCAACATATTTATTAGCAGTGCTCAATTTTCGGAGGTCTGTCGTATCAGCATTGTTGGCTTGCCAGCGAGGGAGTAGTTTCGGGACACATGACAGGGTGGGAATGGACGAGGATTTGCGAAGAAGGTGGGGACTTGTTTCGTGAGTGTTGTGCTTGGTCGTAAATGTGTAATCGTAAGAGAATTTGCGTCGGTAGGTGAAGTTTATACGATGGGTTTGATTACAGTCGAGCTCTGTAAGCAAACCGGGAGGTGAAGACGTAGCATTGTGGCGATGGATAAACCCCCGCAGCCTTCTTCGATTCTACCTTCAAGGTACGCATGTGCTTATGAACTTGTACATAGTAATGCAGTTGTTGCGTCACCTATTTGATAGCAATTCAGTGGTGATTCTACTCAAGCATACGTGAACTGTTTTGGGCTGGAAGCGGAATGGGGAGTTCAGACTATACCTCAGTGAACACCCAATAATTGTCATCAGAAGGTTGCACATCCACGTTGGCAAACTTTGTTTGGTAATTGGTTCATGCCGTTCATTTGAATTCATATGTTCTTCGAGCGACATTTATGCTGGAGTCAATGTGGAGATCATTGGTTTCTCAGTTAGTCGTTTTGGACGCCTTCAAGAGCGGTTTTCAGTCTTCCTCTCGAAACTTCGAGTTTCCGATTATTAGGAATTTCGATCAATAGTAGTAGTCATCTTTTTGACCGGTGTATTATAAGGAAGAGTTTAAATACCGGGTTTTTCCTAGAGTGAGGTTCGATGTCCGACTTTGTTGAAGTGAATCTGGGAAACTGAGGAGTGCTCATTTGTATGTCTTTATCAGTATGCGGGCACCTCACAGATGTCGTTGTGACTTCCAGTATTTTTTTTTGGGTGACTTCAATTGTATGTGTTTACAGATTCTTGCATGAAGGCCCTGGAGTCTGCTACATGCTAACTTAGATATGTTTTTTTAAGACCTTCGGCGGTGGTTGTGTTTAGTGCTTTCAATGGTGGAGTATTTGCATGCTTAAACAACTTATTATATTGTTTTTAAGCTTCTTGACGTTCTCTGTCATCAGATATACTTCAGTGTTTTCACATATTTCATCAAAGTGGGGGAGGGAAGCAAATTTGGACAGTGGAGAGATTCGTCGACCTTAGACCAATGAAGTAATTGACTTCAGTTCTTGTGCTATCCACACGCACACCATGGCACGAACAGTTGCTTGTGCTGTTAAGGCACTAGTGCCAGACACATCTTGGTGCCTCGAGATGCCGTCCTCCTGGGAATTAGGTACAAAGCCTCTACAAGGGTGGAGGAGACTTGGGGCTGGGGACGGAATTCAAAGGAGTCGGAGAGAACAGATTGCTGAGTGCATCACTTTACTCAGTAGAAAATTTGTTGATAATACTTTCTTGGGTTCAGTTGAAGAGGGAACACTTGTTATGGATGAGTTGGAATCTGATTCGGAAGGCAACATTAATGGAGGCAGGCGGAAGATAATGTAAGTCAATGTACTTCGCCTGGGTTTCGGTCGACAGTCTGTTGGTTGGTGGACGGTATGTTGGTTTACCTTCGTACTAAGAATCGTTGGAGACATCCAAGTATTACTGTGCTATTTTTGACCTGGGGATGCTTTCAGAGTCTAATCTACCATTAATCAGTCTACATCATTCGGATCTCATGTACTTCTGTCCTAATGGACCTTTGAACTACTGATTTATTGCACAGGTGGAGAGAGGAGGGAAGTAATTCTCGCTCAGAAGCGTCGGTTCCAAAGGGTGCAGGCAGTTCTCTTCTGGTACCAGGAGTAGATATTCCAGTATCTCTGGATCCTTCCGCCTCTCACTCCAGCGCCTCAGAATTTAAAAATGCTGACAGCTTTGTTTCAGAGCAAGAGGAGTATGAATCCAAGAATGATGATGGTCTAGAGTCAAGAGATCAACAATGCTTAACAGAGGATGACGTTAACTCTACTGATATGCAAGCTTATAATTTCAAGATATTCAGAAGTGGTGATGTGAAAGACAAGCAACCAGCTTCTATACTTGACCTTGTCTTCGATGGCAAAGAAGGTGAAGAATATGAGGTGAAGTTGATCTTGATTGCATCTCTGTCTGAACATTCCACCACAAATTACATGCGCACAATTGATTCATGGACGATGCGACCTGACGAGAACGCTCAGCTGGTGCTGTACGTAAGGGAAGCTACAGCTGCCACAGAAGCTAAGAGTACATGGTAAGTTACTTCCCAGCAACTGTTCATCTCATTAGTAGCTACCAACCTCGCGGATGTCTACACGTCTAAGTGGGAATGTATGCCATTCTTGTCTATTGAATACATCGATTATTTCAGTTGTAAATATGCCATGACATTCACAATGCATCCGGTTACCATGATATTCACTATGCATCGAAATTCACACTACTTCCTGTTACCTTGACATTCACAATGCATCCGGCTGCGTAAGAGATAAGGTTCCATATTGCTACGGTTACATCCTTCGCCGCAGCTCAACAGAGTATCAATCTTTTAATGTTATACCTCTGCTCTAAGGGTAACCGTTGCTGTATGAAAGATATGCGAGGAGCCGCTTTCCTCCCACATGTTTTCATACAGCTTTCACCCAATTCCTGTCACATGTCAGAGTTTCAAAAGTCCTCTTGTACAACATAAATGATAAAAAATCTTGGAGTTTCGCACTCAATATAGACTTTTCTATCTACTTTCGACCTGAATTGACTTCACATACCTCCTGATCTTATGGAGTCATGACTGTATATGTAAATTCCACGTTCATGTACATAACTCATGATGAAGAAGATTTAAAAGGAAATGTTTTTTCCATTCCTCTCTTCATGGTTGAAAACTGCACTAAGCATTAGAACTGCACTAAGCATTAGAACTGAGTTCCATCACCTACTTTTCTTTTGATGACTCATGAGCAAGAAAGGAAAACCCGTCTCCTTACCTTTCACGTAGGGAAACTACACAAACCTACAGTAATCCTTGATTCATTAACAATTCTGCTTCTGACTTCTCGCTAGCTGCAGATTACAAGACACTACTACCCTTGCTCCTATTCTTGGCATATTCTATTTGGTACTTTATAGTAAACCAGGAGGTTAAGTTCTGGATCCGAGATATTCTGATGTGGTCTACGAGGCGTTGAGTCGATTATTATCGACCCCGCTGTGACAACCTTTTCTACAGAACACCAACTATCCATCTGCTACAATTTAATTTTTTTCCTCACGGTCCTTAAGTTGGCAGATCTCAAGCTAGACATCTCTGTTTTTACACGTCTCTTACTACGTGGTGAAGTTGGATCGGTGCTCGTCTTCTCCTAGTTGGCTCCATCTTTCTACAACGACAAAAGCCACCTCCTACAACACGAGAATTCTGCCTTTAGATTTATCAATCTCCTGGTTAGATTACCTCCTCGACAACCTATGTCCCCAGTTCCAGAACCAAATCTTCCCAGCCTATATGATGTCTGTAAATTGTGTATTATCTCTAGCTGCCTTGTTCTCTTATGACTTCAAGTTCTCCGGGAGATCCAGCTCTTCCTTATTTATAGCATCAGCTGTATATTTGATGGTATGTTGTATATTTCTTCTCAGCCCTTGGAGAATCCGTCAATTCCAAGAATCTTGCTTACTCAGCAGTGCTTTCCCAGGCGATCGATGGTATTTCAATGACTTGGGATTCCTCAGTTTCTGACTTTCCATTACCTCCTATGAAGGGAAACGTGGAGAACATCACCGCAGAAAACATGGTCGTATCACACTACCTCACTTTATCACCATAATCTCTCATACGTCCAAGCTCCGGGTCGGGTCGGGGCTATCGTCAGGATGATCCACAATTATAGGATCCATTACTACACGATGCGTATAGTCTTCAGTTTTCTAGGTTCTCTGTTCTCAGAGAGAGATGTTTCTTAAAGGCCACTCAGCGATATGAATCCACCAAACGGTGTAGCAATCAATTTACTACAAGCGTGGAGCTTCATCATAAACCCCTGTGTAGTCTCAAACCATCTTCATTCATTTATTTTATTATTTTCCCTTTTATCATATTTTCTTTAGGTCTTATCATTCATGACTTCCTCCATGGCTTTCGATGTTTCAAGTGTTAGTGTACTTGGCTTTACAATATCTACAATATACCTGAACAACCCGTGCGGTCACTGCACACCCCTATTTACCCTTGAGCATCCGAAGCAGCCGGATCATATTACGATAGAGCGATGTCCGGGACTCTAAGTTTGTAAATTGTCCCTTGTTCCTTTTCTGGCATGTATCCGAGTGAACATATCTCACCTGGATATGCACTCATTTGCCTTTTAACCATGCTTCATTTTCTGCCAGTTATGTTATGTGTGCAGTTCTCATGGACTGCTGATGCCGTCTATAACCTAGTAGGTGTTGTATTGACATATATTAACGGATCTATCGCAGGATTAAACTTTGCACAGCAGCCAAGAGATTCGAGGCTGCGATTGAGGATTGTCTTATCATAGTTGAATTTTTGGAGCTTGCTATGAAATGGGGGAGGAAGTTAAAGAAAGCCCAAACCTATTACAACAAAATCCAGAGAAACCTTGGGTAAGCATCTTGGAATCTTTCAGACAGGAGTGTGCCCGAAAAATTCGTTTATCTCTTCTAGATTGACTTTTAACGTTTGACCTCCCGATTTGCAGTGTAGACAAGCCTAAGATCAGGAATGTCTTGAAGAAGAATTATAACTTGGTCGTCAAAAAGTTTGCTCGGAAAGGAAGAGTACCACAACTACGAAATGTGACGGTGAGCAACCAAAAGGGACACCTATTTGCATGGACATGTACTCACTCAATGATTTTCTATGAAGCTGTAGTCATTATCTGAATCTTTCATAGACTGAAGACCCTTTTTGCTTATCAAGGATGTATACTTCCTGTGCTCATATTCCCATCGACTTCTAACTTACATATCATGCCTATCACAAATGATCTTGTCGGTCACCTGATTGACTATTGCTAAAAGCATCATATTTTAGTCCCACTGACTGAAACAAGATGCGTTCTTCATCTGCTTCTTGCAACTCTAAACAAAAAGACTCTGGAGCCAAGTAGATAACAAAGAGGATGAAAAGACCCATCAACCCGTAAGAAGAAACAAAACGGGAAACCAGGGGCCAACCCCCAGTACTATCAGAATGGGCGAAACGTACTACAGCACTTAAGATATCTGAACTATCAATCGGACTGTCAAGGTCAATTGTTTAACCAATTAAAGGGGAATCCGACTTCCTCTCGGGATCACTATACTCGACAGTATTAGCTAGCTATCTGTGCAAAGTAATGGAAGCATCTTGTCTAAAATAAGCTACACAATAACTTTAATGACTGATATGGTAATGCTTCTTGCAATTTACCTTTAGTTTTTGTTATCTTTACTCTTTATTCCTCTCTTCCTGAGCTCCATTCGGTTTTTCTTCTTGTAATTATTTTGGTCAACATGCATGATCACTGTTCCATCTACAGCGACTTCTGCCATCTTTCCCTTCATCACTTCCACCTACCGGAAAGGATGAATTCGGTGCCAGCATTTCTTTTTCATGATAATTCCACATGATAGCATATCGCATACCTTTCACATAGTACTATCATAATCACCGCATGACATTCATGTGCTCTTTTCCTTAGTTCTTTTGGTGTTTAGAAAAGAGCTGTGAACTAGATGGATCACGTCCAGTAGTCTCTGTACCTCAACAGGTAGTGTGAGCTCTCTTGCAGTTGCCACAGCTTACTCACACTCAACCTAACCTTTAGGTAGATTAGTTTCTCGTAATCTACCTGAGGGTTTGGTAGATTATAAGAAATGCTCAAGAGATCAGAACTCTCAATGTAACACTCCCCACTTTGAACCAAGCAGTTAAGGAGCCTAGCTCACGATCGTTCTGTTCTATCCCGGAGGTCTCGGATAACGAAACATCGTCTCGTTCCAACGGCTCCGCCCGCCCAGCCCCCAAAGATGCCTGGTCCGACCATGTCCGTATTCTTGAATGTTGAATTCACCAAGATCGCTATCCATCACCTCCCGCATTTTAGTCATCTAACAGCTCACAGGTGTCAGTAGAGAATGAGGGATTGATAACCGGGCAAGATCTAGTTTCTGACCTGAATATTTAAATGTTTATTTACCGAGGAGCAATAATTAAATACTGTTCACATGCTCAGCTTTGAGTATGGACAAAAAGATCTGAAACCCTTGCTGGTCACTCCTTAGCCAAAAAGGTAGCCCTACAGTAGGGTGACCATGAAGTAAGTGAGTCTTTACCGTGTAGGAGGTAAATTAGTATTCACCTCTTTTTCTTCCATATACATTTTGTTGTTACTGCTTAGCTTGACTGTCAGATTAAATTCACAACACCTCAATTTTGTACCAGTTAAGCCTGCGATGTATCTACTATGTTCGGATTATTCTAGGTTCAGTGAATGCAGCTATATATTTTATATGTTTTTCAGCATGCTGGACTACGAAGGATATATCCTAGTTAAACCTTGTGCACATTGGTCATTATCCGTTTCAGTATTACTTCTTTTTAATCTCTGACTTTGATTTTTTGTGTAGATTATAAAAAGAATGGAGGAAAATTTGATTTTGAGGCATCAGACGAATGTGCCACTTTGCAAGGTGTGTAATTTTTCGTTTTGATCGCTTTGTTTACTCGCTTGCGGGAGCTGTGAACTTTATCTTCATCTGCTATACATCAGATTGAGATATCTACTAGAGGTTCATTGTGAGTAGTGCAAATGGTTATCAAAGGTTATGGTAATAGATACTAGGAGATTTTGTCAACTTCAGGTGTTAATTACGTTCAATACTTTGGGTCCTGAAGTAGAGATCGTTTCAAGTTAGCAGTATTATATTTCGAGGATAAGACTGGCTCCGGATTTTGAAATTGATTACAAAAAAAATGTGGACCAGATATCGAATTCAGAATCTTCAAGGTCCGGTCTAGATTTGAGTCAATACAGTTACCATAACTGCGAATATTAGTTGCGTGGATGGAACACATTGTACAATCGAGTTGCGTAGTGATGACTGGTACAGAAGGCGACCTGTTTTTCGTCAGAATAAGACTGTGTTTTGTTAACTCTCTGACAAAGATAGAATAAACTGTATTATTTTCTATATGATATTTGTTAAAGAAGGAAATATTATCATATCAGATTTGATTTTATAAATAATGACTTGCCCTATAATCTTCGAATGGCAATATTGAAAGTAAATATTATTTCTGTGCCAGGAGAAGATCGTATGATCAGCGTTATATGCATCTTGCATCCATGGTTACCAGTAGCTTTTCTTCCTTATACATATGATTATTCCTCTTTGAAATTCTGAACGCGGTATGCTACCTTGTGTTTGATTAGACCCTGAAGAGCGGATTCCAGAATAAAATAGCCAATGCGATCAAATCGGTGTCTAAGCGCAAGCGCGTGGTGGAGTCAGATCCCGAAAATGTAAGCATTATGTTTATCGGGGACTCTTAGATTGCTCTGATCTCCCATCATGATATCACATAATCGATTATGTTGTTTGATCTTGGGTATCTGCGGTACTGTTCTATATTTTACACTCTGCTTCCTCATTCTCTTAAAGTTCGAAATAAGGATAGATTTGTTTTCGATTAATACCGGAAGCACCTGCGACGTGTAATAGTAGAACACCAGTACCATTTTAATCTTAGCTCGAATTGTTCTCCTCCTCTCCAACTCGTCTGTGTTAGATTGATGATAGCGGAGACCAGAAGAAAATAGCTCTGGTGAAGAAAAATACTTCTAAACGCAAGCGGGTGGTGGAGTCTGAAACGGAAGGCGAAGTTGATGCCGGGACCGATGAGGAAGATCTGAAGCCGCTATTGCAGCGAGACTTTAAGCGAAAGAAGAGGCGACGCTCAGAGACTATGTCTACTATGGATGACCAGATGAAGGTTGGAAGTGTCGAGGAGGAAGGTGTTAGTTCTTCAAAGAGAATTGAACCGAGAGACATTTCTAGGTATGTCATCTGACTTCCTTCTAGTGTACTTTCATGTGTGTGTGAGTAACCTTTTCCTTTATATGTGTACAGGCCATTGTATATCTCTGTAGAGGTCAAGAAGGTAGGTACATGTGTCTGAGTATCACCTTATAAGTTACTGTAAAACTATTTTGGTTCCTTCCGGGCTTGGATTGACCGTTTCCTGTATTATCTGTTCTTTTTAAGAGAGCATAACTCGTAAGAAGATATAATTAGGGACTGTGAGTCTTAACTGTTCTCCCCAATCACAGACCTGCCTTTTCTGTTAAACATCTTTTGCAACTTTCGATTATCGAACCTTTTCATTGTAGTTATACCTTCTATCGATTATTAGGGGCCGTTTGTATTGACAGGTTCTTATATGCTGGTGATGAGCCTGCACAAAGAGACCTACACAAACCTGGAAGCAGTAGGACATAATTCAAGTAGATGCGATTCAGCATACTAACATGGAGTGGTGGGTCGATATTCCTGATTATCATCATTTTACAGAGACCAGGAAATTGCAGATGATGCACGATGTTGACTTCTTGGAACAATTTGTAAGAAAGACTTTGTACTTGTAGACTGAGGGAGGATGTTATGGAATGCCGAAGGTGACGCTGGCAACCCATCATGCGCCAGCTTGCTACACGTACAAAGCTTATAACTTTTTTCGGCAGATAGAACTCTTGTTCATTTGTGTATGCTTTCTAAGCCAGCAACTATCCTGTCATCTCTCTTATTCTTGACATGTGTAATTGATTGCAAGATGTTTTGATCTCTCACGGGCGTCTCTGTCACGCGTTGAATAGATATCACTTTAAAGTTCAGATTAAGAATCGATGGGCCATCTCTCGGCTCCTCAATTTAAGGAACGAGTTTTTTGAACCTTTGTGTGTCATTATGGGCTTCACTTGCAGCAATATACTCGGCTACAGTGTGTGACAAAAAGATTCCTGATGTCTTTGTTATTGTCATAGCTGTGTTTACATTTTTAACAATTCTGAAATAGAATACATTTCTTATAAACCAGATACCGTGAGTTTTAATCTACAACCCTTATTTCAATGCCATTGCACCTTCAGTGTTCGTTTCAATGTGAAAATTCGAATCCAGCTGATTCGAAACGAATATTTGGATCAGGTCAAATACCTCCGCTGTAGAGTCAATGTACTGCATGAGTCTGCATATGGTCAATCCATCTGCTAGACTTGAAACAGATCCTTTTTCATCATTCGTGATCCTTAGGTCTGTAATCTCGTAATTCACATCCTTGTTAGACTTCTCTGCAATTCCAAGCCAGGTTCTTTTTTTCCTTTCCTTATTCAGCACAACGTCACCTTAAACTATAATTTAGTGTCATATGTAAATGTAATAGCCTGAATATAAGATCTAGGTATGTAGGTTTTTAGTTTTTAAATTCCATCTTTCTCACAACATAAAGCTCTGAGAGCTCGTAAAACTACAAATTCGAAATCCAACCTGCAATGTATACCTCGTCTCACAGGTAAATATACCTTAGCAGGAGAGCTTTCTAAACGTCCATCCGGCTAAGTCTCCAGCGCGTGCTCTTGTTATTGCATCACCACTGGATAATGCTCCTATCAATTACTGGAGCAAGTGTAGTCGATTTCCAGTTCCTTCCTTTTGCATTAATCCCCTCTCTGATATGACCGTTTTTTCCAAGAAGAATTCTTACAGCGTTTCTTTCATTCTATAATTCTCGATCACATCACAGATTTCCGTTTCCAGCATTAGCTGTCACCTCATCTTTTTAATATTGTTCGAGAATCTCTGAACGATATGTTCTCCAAGCTCTTTAGGAACCATTATACTCTTTAGAAACCGGCTCTTTCCAAACTTCAGTATTACGTGGAACCCAGGTCGCTTCGCCAGATATAAACACAGGTGAATGTGTTCAGTTCTGAAAGGGCACATTGTCTGTGAAGGTGCAGTTCAGATAAAATACTTGAAGTTGCAGAGGTGAGAGAGCTCGAAGGTTTAAAGGAGACTCTTGATGTTGCAGAAAATTCTTCAGAAATTTCGAATGATTTTAAATCCACCAGTGAGAAGACCGAAGTTCCAGCGAAGACCTCCCTTGCTGCTGTGAACACTGAGGAAAGTGCAGAGCCGCCGGTGTTACCAGCTGACTACAACAAAAAACCTGCCGAGCCGCAATTATCTTCAGTTTTTACTGCAATTTACAGTGAAGATGACATTCCTGAGGACTTAGATAGTGATGACGAGGAGGTTGGAGATGCAGCATTTTGTGCAATATGTGATGATGGCGGTGACCTCCTCTTGTAAGTCAGTCCACCTATTTTCGATTGACATTGTGCTCGACATGTTGAATGTCTTGGCTTTTACCCATATTTTTTAGCGGATTTTTATTGCTTTCAGAACGCTTGTAGATTTTACCTCTATACGAATCTTTGTGTTTTGTGATACATTATAATCTTGAGAAGTAAGGTTAGTAGTCAAGACCAAAGCTATCGGTTGACATTAAGGCATTAAGGCATGAAGTATGCAGGCATAGCCTCTTGAGCATCTTTCACATCTGATTTGTAGAAGCCGGTTTGTCTAACGAAGACGTATGTAGTGAGGACGTTGTTATGTTGCGAAAGATTCTATAACCGTGCCGGATTTTCTAAGCTTTTCTGCTTTATACAGCTGTGATGGTCCCTGCGTTCGATCCTTCCATGCGTCCATAGAAGCTGCCAAGGCGTCTTCTGAGTCAATGTGTAGATCATTGGGATTTACGTCGGAAGATGTGAAGGTTAGTTCTACTATCTCATGCGCGTCACAACCTAATCTATTCGAAGAGTAACTGTTATAGATATATGCAACCTAGGCATTAAAGGCTCTCGGTTTATATATAGCGTACAGTTTTTATGTCTGATTTGACTATCTCTGGGGTTACATTACTTCAGAATGTCAGCTATCTAAGTAGAAGTCATCCCGTCTATCTCCTTTAGTTGAAGACTCGGTGTGTTACCCGTTCTCATACATGTACTTCAATTTCTGTGATCGATGATTGTGTTGGTCATGTATCTTGACAGGAAATGGGAAGCTGGCGATGTCCTAATTGCGAGTATAAGCGCCATCAATGCTTCATATGCGGCAACTTGGGCAATAGTGAAGGGGCAAACAAGGAGGTAAATCAAGCAACCACAGACAATACTGAGAATAGGTTTACTACACTAATTGCTGTCGGACTTTGTGTCTCGTCATCATTCATTTCGTGTGAACTACACTGATGCACACTAACTATATCTACTCACGGGATAAACGAGTTATTTGCCGAGGAGGTGTTATGTACATTCAAACTCAAAATAATTCTTAATCCAAAGCTCAATTTGTTGGTTATAAGTGTAAGGGACAGGGAGGTCCCTTACAAGTAATCCAGATTGCGCACCTTCTTCTATGAATGAAAAGTAGCATCTATGATCCCATGGATTGAATTCTATATTTCGTAAGGCTTAGAATCCCATAACTTTTGAATTTTGCTCCAAATAAATAAGGGATTTTATTTTGAAAATGACCTGTATAAAATGAGATGTCAGGGGACAGCAATCGGTCATGAGGATGTAACATTGATCAAAAGTTTAAAATTCATGAAACACAAAGTGGGCTTCCCACTTAATGTTCAATGATTATTTGTTTTAAATAATCATTTAAAACAAGGTCTTGGTGGATACAGGACTGAAAACTCCAATAATTTGTTTCCAACATGAACTGAAAAGAGTGCCAATCACCAAGCAAGGAAGGTTTTCATTTTGGAATCGAAGATATAGAAGTGTTTGGTGGAAAAAATTCCACCTTTTGATAAATTTATATTACCCTAGTGTACTGTCAGGAAAGATCTACCCTAGAAAGTCATATACACATTATTACGGAATGGCCTGTAGAAGTTGGGAAACTCCGTTGTTGATAACTGACGCCGACAGCAGATCCAAGTCGAAATATCATTCAATATCCGTCTTCTCAACCATCAAAGAATACCGACCAGGCTGGATGATTGAAATAATGTGGCCATTAAGATACATCATGCTATGTTACAACATCTCCGTTATTAGCTGCGCTTTGAATCAGTCAAACCAAATGCCTTGAATCGGTATGCTCACTTGCATAGTGGACAAGGAACATGCTCGCACAGATCACTGGCGTACTGGCATTTGTAGCATATTGTGTGCATGTAGTTGCATGTTGATTGCACCATTGAGTACAAGATATTGAAATAGTGCATTTACGTGTTTCTTGCAGGTGTTTTTATGTGATGTTGCTCTTTGCGGACGCTTTTATCATCCGGAGTGTCTTGGTGGCTTTACAAAATTGACCAAGAGGGAGATCGCTACATTCGCGAAGAATATCAAAGATGGAACGGAGTCGGTCTTTTGTCCTGCACATAATTGTTTAGAATGTGGGAAAGGTGAAGAAGAGGGAGGAATCGACAACTCAATGAAGCTCGCGAAATGTCGACGCTGTCCGAAGGCTTACCATAAGAGTCATTTACCTCTGTAAGCACTTCTCTGTCTTTTCTTTGTAGCAAACAAACTTAAAGTACGTCTTTTACAGTCTTTATGAGTATGTCTCTGTTGACATTAAATTATTGCATAGCCTCTGCATCTTATATATCAATATCTTGTTACATCTCTTGTCAACTCTGTGCTGTGGATGTTTTGTTACGCGTTCAACAACTTTACTGAGCAGTCCCACGTTTTTTATGCTTGAACTTACAATGCTTTTCCAGTTGTATATTTCATTGTTCTCCTTCAGTCTTTTAGCTTAATAGCCGTTTTTCTCTACTGTCACTCGTTCTCAATTCTCTCTGTCAGCTGCAAGCTGAAGCTGTTGAGTCGAGCTATTTTAGTAATCACCATTAATTCTAGTGTTACGCTACAATGTTTGCGAGCTCCCAAAGTTCAGAATCGTCTGTTACAGCAGGTATTATCAAGTACTTGGTTTCTACAAGTACTGCGAATAATTGGTTGCTGCTGCTATTTGCCAAGAGTAATTCACATTTTGTGTGGTGCTGATTTATGTATGTAAATTGTGTTCGTAAGATCTATATCTTTCGAGGAGACTGAAGATGAGCCAATAAGGGCTTGGGAAATTGGAGAGGAGGACGAACCTGTGAAGCGGCTAGTCATTTATTGCACGTGAGTGAACCAGCGCTATCCACATTCAGTCTTGTCTTGTTTGTGGAACTTGGATGTACCCCACTATGAGTAGTCATCGAGCCATTTTCTAAGCTGTACTCGGATTTTGCAGAAACCATAGTATTGATAAAAACCTCAACACGCCGAAGCGGGATCATATAAAGTGGCCTGAAGAATATGATAGGAAGAAGAGGAAAGAAGACTATGACCGAAAGGAGAGGAAAGAATTTGAAAGGAAGTCTGCAGAGGAGTATAAATTACTTAACAGGGCGAGAAAACATCAAAGGGAAAGGTGTGAATCTGAAGGAGAGGAACGGTTTTCGAAATCCTTCCCCAGTACGCCTTATCGAGAGCCTAAAGCAATCCATAAGAAGCCGGACGTGAGGAAAATCATTGCAAAACTGTCTCCACAGGCACGAACCGTCAAGCCACACGTTGCACAGAGTGACCGACACTTTTCTTCTAGCTTAGGGCACGCAGCTCAGTATAAACCGGACTGTGGCAAAAGAGCACCAGTAGCTGAGTTGCCGATGCCGATCTCTGAGGAAACTATTCTGAAGAGGTACGTCGGACTTTCTTTTCCTCCATTGCTTGAACTAATGCTGAGAAGGTTGACTTTTTGGCTCTATGATTGTGGAAGCCTATAGAAAGGGATTCTGTATATGGTTATGTTTGGTAAGCATATAAAGGAAAGGTATCAGCCCAGAAATCCTTCACTAGATCTTCCACCTGTACGCTTGTTAGTTCCAAAAGATATCATCCGAAAGGAGCAGCCGATTAGGGCATCAAATCAAGGCTCAGAAATTTCCATAATGAGATGTGAGTTTTGATTCGAGGTGGCTCTCATTCTGTGAAAGGTGCTGTATGTAACCAGATTATGGACAGTGCGCTTGTCACTGTCTACCACGCTCTGCAAGTACCAGGGGTCGTTCGTCTTATTTCTCTTGCTCTGCCCAAGAGGGATGACTCCAATAAATAAACTTTGTGCCTTTTGAATGGAGCCCCCTAGATGTATTCCTTGATAAACCATGAGTTCAGTGTATAATGTTGAAAAGGAGATGTCAGTATCGTAATTGGTTTCATTCCTGCTCGTGTTCTTTGAAAGCGTAGTAATTCTGTTCTAAACCAAGTTACAAGGTCGGAATGTCTTTCCCACAGTTTAGAAGCCTTCGTTACATCCAGTATCTGACTTAAACCAACAATAGTAGGTTTCTCCTTCTCTTATTCGACTCAGCTCAACATTCAACTGTATATCAGAGTATGTATTACGTTGATATATTGCTTTTGATAATGTGGATGCGTCAGAAGATGACCGTTTGCTATTTTTACATTCTGACCCGAATTGCATTTATCATACTCCTCTCGGTGTATTTTACGTATCTATTTGCCTTTTCTTCATACTTTTGTCGCTACAGTTGACTGTGAGGTACCTCCCGTTCAACGTTGTGCTCATAAATCATAGTCCGGAGTGCTAACATCGTAGGGTCTGAAATATCTTTATGATTATTCTGATGAAGGTCTAAACTGCGAACAGAACACAATTTATTCAGGCATAATCATGGGTGCTTTTGGAGGTTTGGCAAACATCTGATATTTGTCTTCATGCAGAATCAAGTCGATCACAGAGAGCGCAGCTTCGATTGTTACAGTGGAAAGTGTCCATAATGGTTTATTCCATCCCAGTTGTTATACTAGTTCCAAGAGAAGCATCATACGTAACGGAGACTTATACTCTATCATAAATGTGAGTTAGTTGGTAGCATGACTCTTTCTCCGATTGTACATCAAATCACGAATTTTACAAGAAGCTTACTTGTTCGATTGTTTGGTTTGGAAGGTTAGTTCAGATTCTTTGGTCTTTCTGCAAGATGATGCGTCGGTGTGGCTGTCCAAAATTATAGCTGAGTCTACTCACTAGTTTCAATGTACCTGGGTAACATCAGGCTATGACAAGAGCCGCGGAGAAGGTTAGTGCAGGGGGAAGTATTGAAGATGCAAAGCGCATCTGTCCAGCAGCTGCATTCAATTCTCTATTACGGAGTGAGGTCAAAATATTCTACTTCATATCTTATATTCCAATTCTCTAATGCGTATTTTGTTTGCATTCAGTTGACTTGATTAAATAATAATCATATCTTTTATAAAGGATGATCTTCCGTTATGCCATTTACTTTAATCGAAAATGTTTTAACCTTTTTCAACCTAAATGCTTTCGTTCTTTACAAAATTACACTGTTGTCTTGGCTTTAGCTTCGTGCTTGGTAAGCTCATTGAGTTTCCTTGCACTAATTCTTTCAGGATTCTTTGAAAATATATCTTGCCCCACTGCTGCATGGCACGCGATACACATCCTTTGGACGTCATTTTACGAATCCTGAAAAGCTGAAAGAGGTAAAAAAGGAGGGAGAATAATTAAATTTGGCCAAACCTAGCGAGAGTTATAATGGACGTCTCTGATTGATAGTTTGCCCAATTTTAGAACTGACTCGGCTGTTTCCAAATTCAGATGCATATGTATGTGTATGTACGTTCTGCGGATGTTTTAAGTTCAGTTTTTCTAAGAAAGCTTTATAGTTTACTGACTATGTCACCAGCTGACTTGCAGATTATCGAAAGGATACATTGGTACATCGATGATGGAGACATGGTATGACTTCCTCTGGAATCGTCTGGAAGTTTGATTGGCTTGTACGAAATGTGTTGTCTATAGACGGATGATCAAACATATTTTGCTTGCAAGGTTGTGTTAACAAAATGGTTCCATCTTCCTCGTCAGGTGGTGGACTTTTGCTGTGGTGCGAATGATTTCTCCATACTCTTGAAAGAGAAGCTGGACAGCGTCGGGAAGAAATGTGAATACAAAAATTTTGACATTCATTCGACAAAAGTAAGTGGTCGTTTCTTATGTTATGGTTTCCAGGCAACGAACTTGATAATTTCCTAATGATGATGGAAATAGCAAACTGGATTTGAATGTATCTGGATTAGGTCGTAAACCCACAAGTACAATCGCTTCAAGCCAGATTGCAGTAAGTATCGGAATAAATTGACAGTTTATGCCCACTAGAGTCACTGGAATTTTGAGTAGATTGACCAAATCACCGGTTCAACAAAGCATTTTTCTCGAACCAATGGAGTCGAGTTGATTAATGTACCTATTTGGGATAAAAAACTCAATTTATTTTAGAGTGATATTGGATGGCAGCGCGGGGTTGGAATGTCTTCCCTGTGCCAGTATGATCGTCGTACATATTCCTTGTACCAGGTCCTGCAGCATGGTTAGAAACAGAGACTAATATCTTTACAAATTAGTAAACGGTTCGCTCAGTGGTTGGAGCTATTGTGGAGAACTGTTGTGCATTATAGATCATTATAGCATCACAAGCGTGTCATTGACAATGACGCCCTCGTGAGTCATGTCTGTTGACGAAAAAGAGTGTACTATCGCTTTCCGTACTTCGAGTCTTGGGTGAACACTGTACAGATAGTCTAGAAACAGGTATAACATTTTGCAGAACGTTCACTGCTAGTTCCCTTGTTAATATGGAAGTTTCCGCTTTCCGCTTCATCCATCTCACTTCTTATTCTTGCCAGTCACATGTTCTACCAAAGCTCAACCTGTATTCATATTCTTTTCTTGTGAGCTTTGTAGCTTGGTGGTCGAAGCCTCCAGTTCAATCTTCTTTGTTGGCAAACAAGGACATCCATATCCAAGCAAATTATTCGTTGGAAGGGGCTTAAAGCACGGGATTGATGGCCGTGGACGTTAGAATTCTTATTCTTCCCTTCATGCATGTGTAATTTCTGTTATTAGTAATTTTGGTGTACCACATTCCTTTCACTGTAATGGTCTATATCCTCATTGTTGTTCACTTATCAACCAATGTTGGTCCAGGGGCGTAATCATTCTTAGCTCTGTATTATGCTCGCACTATACGTCTTTTAAATTTGACATGACTTTTTATGTTTTTGGCTCATCGCTGGGTGCTCTGATTGACTTCTTACCGCGAAAGCGTGTTTGAGTCTGTATCGAACCTTGTTCACAGCATATACTATTATCAGAAAGAAGATGGTACCGGGGACTCTTATAGAAACGTTTGTTCACATATTGTTGTACATGGATATTGACCTTCTTGTATCAAGATCAATTAGAGTCCTGTAAAGCATGAGGAAGGTGGAGTCTGCAAGATCTGCACCTAAATTGATTTGGACCTTTCCCACTCTCCTTATGTTTGGGTTCCGTCGTTGCTGTCCTTTACCACCTGAAGTCGTGAAAGTGCTTCGGTGTCTGGACTAGAGATTTCTATGTTATAACCTATCTGTCATTGGAATTGAAATTTGCAGAATCCTTTCAATTTTACAAAACTTGACTGGTTCCAAAACAGAGGTGTTGGATTTGCTGAGGGAAAGAAACTTGTAAGTATCCTTTTCCTCATTGGCCTCTTCTAATTTCCAAGATTTTGTGTTGTGAATCACGTGTCTTCACCCTTATCCTCTTTTCACTTTGAGCGTTGTAACGCGCAGGTCATGGGTCTGAACCCACCTTTCGGTTCTAAAGCAGCTCTCGCTACCAAATTTGTCGAGCATGCCATGCAATTTAGGCCCAAACTTCTCGTGCTGATAGTGCCCCCAGAAACAATGGAGTAAGGGAACAGACCTGATTTGAATTCTACGTGTTCTTCTCTAATGTCTATCATGAAGATCTGAACTGACAACACTGACCCGATCGATCTGGAAACTCATGATATTCAATGATTGGATTACAGAAAGATTTGATCGTCTATCACGATATTCGTTCCTATCTTAATTCTCTAATTTCAATGCTTGTGATGAGAGTCGAGAAGTAGAACTTGAACTAACATATGGACCTGTCAAGTTTTCCTTAACTTAGTTGCAATCAGTCTTTTTCTCTCTCGCTGATACCCAGCAATATGATGTTTCGATAGGGATGTGTTATAACGAAAAGCTAAGGAATAGAGTTGTTGAAAAATTCTGGCTTTTGTGATGTTATACAGTGGAGGAAGAAAATATGCTCAGCATAACTACAAACTTGTATGGCAAGACGCAAGCCTTCTCTCTGGAAAGGTATGTTTTCTTTCTTACAAATTATTTGGATCTCTTCTTGGACTAGATGGTATTAAGAACATCGTAGATACCGAATCTCACAGAGTATGACTAGATAGCCAGGTGTAGTCTTTTATGCAGCTACGAAATGTATTTTTGTATTCTGAACACTGTTGCTTTAGTTTCTTAGAATTTCTTAATTTAAGAACAACCAGCCGAGCTTTATGCACCGACTCCCTGAAGAAAGTGAAATTCACATAGAGGCGTATAATACATAGTTAAGAGAACACAAAGCTAAGCAATTAGATAACCAAACAAAGATCAGTAATTGGTTTCACTTTGATCATCAATAGCTCCCACCCAGGGGCTATTAGCAGCACCACTAACGTCATAGCTCTCGAAATGGAATTCACCAGATTTGAATTGATATCAATTCGGATTTGCAAAGTGTGGTCAGTAATGAAGACATTATCATCGGCAGAGCATATTGCATTCGAGGTCCTAATTCGAAATTTAATCGTGAAAGTGTTTGATAATTGCTAAACTTCACTTAAGCCCTTAACGGAAGTAGTTTCTACAATATTATTTGCTTGTGAAAGGTATTAAGAAGCTGATTTTGAGATAACAATCACCACTTCTCTTATTAGGAGTCATGTCCAATCCCATTTGTACTTTACTTCTTATGTGTTTCTCCTGTGGTAATGCCTAATTGAACACATCAGCAGTCATTCCTCCAGTTGAACAAGACAACACTAATTTTGTCTACTCTATTTTTCCTCCAATTAACACACTGTATATGTAGAAATACGTTTTATCCTAAATTTTTGTGTGGATGTAATAGCTCTAATGTTAGCGCATTTCAAGGACTTCCTTGGCATTCACGAATGGCCAATGAAGAGCTTGTTATTTCAATGCTATTGATACAATTTCTTTCAATCATTCTCCACTCTTGAAGTGTCCACTTTCATGTTCTCAGATCTTGCGCTGTGATAGCATTATAATAGAGCCAACTTTACTATTGGAAAATATGGATTTGGTTTCTATTTTTAACCATTGGCCCACAAATTAGCGTCGTCTCCAAAAGTCTCCGTAATGTTCATTCTTTTCTCTCTGAACACCCATATGCATCCAATATTACTTATGTTATACGGTGGATGTCTTTCCTTATACATATAATATTGGATGCATGTGGACTCTTTAGAAGTGATTTCTTCTCCTATGGGTTGCTCCTATTTATTCCATTCTAGTGTACGTGCTACACGAGCAATTGATCAAAGCGAGTCATATTCAAAAGTAGATACAGTTTTGTTGGTCACAACACCATTTTGAATTGAGACAAAGATAGTTTAGTTCCTGTAAAAATCTCAATCTACGTACTTGATATTTCTTTCTAAAAAACTTCTAGTAACAACTCTATCAGCTTAATAGTACACTTCAACAACAAAATACATCTCGAAAATTTTAATTGAAGATGTTTGCAACACTCAACCAAACCAATTGACGATGAGCAAAAATATCTAGTTAATCATGATATACGCACGCGAACAATCTATACCATTTACAGTCATTGTCGAACTGCTAACACTAAAAAGTGGCCGACTTTAAGCTCACAATTACACCTTACGCCTTACTATTTTACGGGTTTACTAAGTTTATTGGGCTTTGTTTCTCACATCGGGAATTTTGTGCGAGGCACTCTAAATCGACATAACCTTATTGTAGTTGGTAACTGGTAATCTCAGTAACAATCGAACCATCAGATATGCCTTACATGGATGTAACTTGAATAGATTCATGTGTAGGATTTTACGGTCAAGAATCATAACACAAGCCGATTTCAGAAGGGTGGTTTTACCTTCATAGGAAGAACCACCGTTAAGTGTTGAAGTATAGTTTTCGTGTGTTAAACAATTATTGTCCTCAGTGGGTGCTAACGTTTATCCTAATGACGTGTATGCAGTAGTATGCCCCTTGATGCTTTGAGTAATTGGGCAATAAACTCGCAGCATGATTGAAGTCAAAGGGGTTGTGTAGTAATCTATTTCATTTCCGTATGCGGGTGAGAAAGGAGTAGTATATTGCCGAGTTGCTATTTAGAAGATGCAAAGGCTGCTCGTTTTATCCGTCAATGTTAACATCTTCTGAAACTGTATTTGTGGGATTGCAGTCATTTTACTTGCCAGGGTCCCTGGATAGAAGCGACGAGGGGAATTTGACTCAGTGGAACACTGTGGCGCCTCCACTCTTCCTTTGGAGTACTGTAGAAATGCTCCAAAAACATCAACATATCGCTCTCCAACATAATCATATTCGGAGTATAGCTGATGGATCCGAGGACCAACACTTAGAGAAGTTACAAGAAGATCCCTTCCAAGTATCAGCTATGCATCAGCACAGTTTGAAAGTGCAGGTGGACATTCCTCCAGTCCATATTCTGAAGACTCCTACTCCTTCTCCGACTGGATTGAAAGGGCACACATCAGGGGATCTAGCAAATATTCGTAAACCCCCAGAATCAGAAAAAGGTTCGGCTGTGCCTCCTTCGAGTGAGCAAAGTGCTCCTTTCAGCCCTCCTGTCAGAACTCCGCGAAGCTCATCTTCAAGTTCTCAAGAGGGACACATTCCGGGTCCAGTTTCAAGTACTAATCGTTCCTCCATCAACCGGAACCAGCCCTTTGCTGGAAGAGGACTCGGGGCAGGACTAGTCGATAATTGGTTGCCTCCCAAAAGTGAACGGGAGAAATGTTCAAAAGTGGTTCATTCGGATCTTGGGCACAACCGAAATCTCGTAGGCATGCATGGCAACCATCATCCATCAGCAGCAACACGAAGGCCTGGACTGCCAGAAGGCCTAGATCATCGTGGGGTTCAAGCGGACCAACCAGCTTATATGCCGCATCCTTCTAGTCTTCTCAATACGCGACAGCATGGATTTCCACCTGGGCAGAGAGAACAACCACCATTCAGAATGACGCAGTTCTCTCAAGATGTACCACCACATCTACCTCCGCTTCCGCTTCCGCGGATGCAGCGTAAACCCCCGCCATCAGCAACAGCACCACCTCTTGGATCACCGAGTCCATCGACAGAGACTGGAATGCAATCACGTCGACCTGTTCACCCAAATGTGCGACCCGGTCCCGCTCCACCCCGATGGCCGCCAGGGCCCCTACCTCCTCCGCCTCCAATGTTCCCGCAAGGTATGCATGGGCCTCGCATTCAAATGCCGGTTCATCAAGGCCATCGTTTGCAGGGTCGGCCTTTGATGCATCCCCATCTTCAAGGTGACGTCGGCCGGGCCGGTGGTTTGGAATTTGGCTTTCCTTTCGGAAGTTCAGGATTTACACGGAACAGAAGCGGTGAAGCCAGTTTTGGGAGACTTCCTCTTCCCCCTCCTCCCCCTCCACCCCCTCCTCCCAGGGGGGGCACGCCTTTTGGGGGTCCACCGAGTTTTGGTTCTGGAGGGTGGATTGAGGATTGATCACGCTCTTGTCTCTGCCTTCGAAGAGAAACTGTTGAATGCAATTTGTTTGGTTCATGTAGTAGCTGCAGCCAGAAAGGGAGCACGTAGTGGAGTTTCGTAGCTAGAAGAGATTTTTCGCGGCTAACCTCGCTCGTGTGAAAGAGCAGGTTGTCTGAAGAAAAACGTTGCAGCTAGATTCAGATCCTCGCTGTTCCAAAGTAGCCACGGATGAGTCTAACATGCGCGGGTTTTCTAAGTTCAGATGAGGAATTGTCAAGAATATTGCGAATTTTTGTTATGTATATATCTAATGTCCCACTTCAACCGATGCCTTCGAGCAAATGACATTTTAGTGATAAGTGATTATCCGGTTCGAAATCAGGGATTATCAGTAATTTCTTTTGCTCACTTCTATCGCCCAGTGTGAATGCCTAACATGCCGAAATGTGTAGATTGGGAGTTTGGCAATGCTGAGAAAGGAAGACTTGTAGACTCCAAAACGCGCCCTCTTGAAAGGAAAGGAACAAAATTCTCCCAAAAAGATATTCTCACGGCTGGAACCAAGAGAGCATGAACGGTTAGCTGTTAGGAGTGAGCAATTGGACAGTCCATGTCAACAATGTTTTCAGAATTAAATGAGAAGAAATCAGAAGCGGGTCTAAGCAAATAAGTAGTAGACAACAATGATTGTTCATATGTGCTACATTTGTTTTCTTACTGGGACCTCTGTATGGGACGAATGAATACATGTTTTCCTGAGTCAAGCTTCCATTCAAGCAAGGTCGCTTCGACACAGCTACAAGGTGAGTAAACTCAGATAAACAAGGCTGTGCATGAAATGCAAGCAATCGATTTGGACACAAGGAACAAGAGAGTTTGCAGCTAAGTATCGGTGGCCGTAGACGTGCATAATGTTGGCTTTTCTCTTGGTGTCCTCTGAAGAAACATTGACCAGTTTTTTAATTTGACGAGCGAGCGTCTGAACGTTTGCAGCAGTCGGATGATTCAGTCGCTTGCATTCCTCAATTTTGGATCGGAGATTGAAAAAGTCTGAAACATAGCGAGGCTAAAGTTTGCGTGACACTGACACAGATTTTCCTTCACGTCGTTCCCACAATTCCGACCTTGAAAAAGACGTCCACCGCAATGAGGCAGCGGCTCCTGGCGCAATATTTCACATCAGAGGAAGCTCGGCTGCAGCCCCCTATCAATCATACTCGTGTTGCTGCTGTACTGCAGCGGCAGCAGCTGCTGCTGCTGCAACGGCAGCTGCAAGATTCAGTTGAATCTGATGATAATGGTTGGAAGTTTAATGATTTTGAAGCTTCTCGCCTTTTCCCCGAGCACCACCAGCACAGACCTCGATTGGTGTAGGTCTCGCGAAGAAAGTCGTTGTTTTATCCCACGGTGCACTGTACAGATTGTAAGTCGATCCTCCATAGAGGGCCTTTACAGTAGTACTTCCACAGGCAGTAGGAGGGCAGGCGCAGGCGCGGGCAGGCAGGGAGGCAGGCAGGCAGGCAGGCAATTTGGGTAGGCTGCTGCTGTTGTTACTGCTCCTACTGTTGCTTTGATCTCTTGTTCCAGTGGTACTTCTCTATCTGGCAAGAACGCTGTTGCTGTTGTTGTATGCATCTGCAAAAAACGGCTTCCGTCGACCAAAAGCGGATAGAGAGAGAGAAAGAGAGAGAGAGAGGGAGAGCCCGCGAGAGAGAGATGACTGGACTTGGCTCGCCATGACTCCCGAGTCCGGACGGTTGTGCTTGCGAGCAAAGGTCAATAACCACAAAGACAGCTCGAAGGCCCGCCCGCTTGCCTGCCTGCCTGCCTGCCTGCTGCTGCTGGTGATGTTCAAGCGCAGTTCAGCACAATTGTCTTAACTCGGATAATCTACTTATTTTATCGGTGCTTGACGTCTTTATCTTTAACCCCGACCCCGTCCGCCCTTGCCATCGTCTCCGCTGCCCCTGGGGATTCTTTGCCCCTCTATTTTAAGCCCAGCCCTCCAGGCTCCATGTGTTTTGATGATCATGGTTGATGCCTACAGAACCCCCCTCCCTATTGTTCTGCTGGGTTCCATGCCTCAAATCCCTGTGCAAAAGTGGCGATTATCAGGCTAAAGCAGCTTCTTCTGTCACGTATTGGCATCATTGGAGATGCTTCGGAGCTGGGATATTTCTGGTGTCGAGACGAATCCACGTCGAGCAACTTGGTCCCGGGAGGGCCAAAAACAAGTCGTTTGGGTTGTGCAGTGTCTGTGTGTGCAAAGCGAAGCGAAGCATATCAAACGCCTTCCCAATATCCTGGACCTCCCATCAACAACGCTCTTGAAGGAGGTCTTCGGCCCTTCATGCCATGTGGGGTCCAAGGTCCAAGGGCATGTTCATTCTGAGGAGTAGGGGGAGGAGAGGGGGTTGGACAGGATTTTCACCCCCTCCCATAACCTGAACCAACAGCGAAAGTGTGCTGCAAGGCTGCGAGCTGGTCTGGGACAGTGAGGCTGTCGACAACGACATGGAAGTTCATCCTCCTGTATTGCATGGTGGGATGCAAGTCGTAAGGCCCATATCTTGACTACTTGACTTGCAGCTAGCTATGCATCTAACTGACAATCTAACGCATGCTATCGAACTCATAGGGACATCGATTACATTCTAGCAGTGGAAGAATCTCATGATGAGACAGTGAAGGGCAGCGGCAAACTCATGAGCACAACATCCTTTGTCTTGTGTCTGCACAAGAATCTCATGAACAATTGACCTCGAGCGCATGAGCTGCAGATCGAGTGAGCACAACGAGGGGCTCAGGGACGGGAAGGGGAGGGAAGGGATGGGAGGTACTTTCCCGTAGGACCAACCGTTGTTAACTGTTATGTCTATATGATAATCCCTATCATCATCATCATCATCAGCAGCAGCAGCATGCTCGCTGTTCATAATCCACTCGTGAAACTGTCCGAAAAGACGATCGGATTCACTGCTTGCATGGCCGCCTGCCTGCCTGCCTGCCTGCCTTCTTTCCTTCCTTCCTTCCTTGAGGATTTAGAGGCTGGTGAGAATCAATGGGACACACTTAGTCAGGATGGGGTCAGCCAGGACAGCCCAAGCAGCAGCAGGAGAAGCAGTGGGCTTCATATAAAACATAAAAAAAACTTACATCAATGGAATAGCAGAGATAAACCGTGAGGATAGAACTTGACTGGTAGATAGAGGTAGAGCTAGCATCACACACACACACATTCAGGACACAAACTCCGAGGCGGGACTTTATGCCTATCTGAGAGCTCGAGAGAGGCATTATTCAAACATTTCTGGCAAACAATAATGAAGGTTCGAAAGCTGGACACTATCAATCAAAATTGGCCATTTGAACCATCTCGGCTTGCGACTGTGTATGCGCAATATCACGCCACAGTGCCGAGCCCTTGCGTTGGTAGAATCGTGAATAAGATACAATAATGTACGCCAGATGCTTTTGACGAGTTCTCCATTCTCTCATCAATCGCCCTTCATTTCGCTTCCACCAGCAAACGGTTCGGTGCAGGTCATGGAGCTCCGGTCCCTTCACCTTCCTGGCGCCTTCGGTAATTGTGGCAGCGCGAGCGCGGCAGATTGGGAACAGCCCCCACACTTGTGCCCCTATGGACTCATGGGCCGAGAGCAAGAGCCACAAGTTGACATAAAGTACAACCACTTGATAGGTGTCCATTTTATTTTCCGGCCTTGGACCGCGCATACGGTACTTTCTACAACTTTATGATTCCACCATAAATATGGGTGTGCATCAATCGCTCCAAACCCATATCCAAATGTTCATTGTGATCAAAGAGCGGACGTATGAAAAATCCTCAGCAGTGCTCTGCTCTAGTGAACGAATGTTATCTGGATTTGAAACCAAATGCTCTTCTACTTTTCTATCTGAAGCTTACACCAGAACAATTTTTATGTTAAAGATGTCGCAAAGCTTACGCATTTATTTTCGCAGACCTTAGCCTTGGACGTTGAATGATGTACATGTGTCGCTCCCTTGTTGATGAAGATGCATGGAAAGACGATAAGTCATATGGATAGTTTTGTTAAGTAGAGGAGCTTCTAAACTATGAGAGTGAACTTGGATCACTTTGTCACTAAATCTTCTGTTTTTGAACACTGCAATAATTTCACACACTAGAGGCATTAGCTATAGTTAATATGATTTCCACAATAAAATATGCATGTTCAAGACTCCAAGTTTGCGTTATTTGGTGTATTTCCTTTGTTTGCATTAGATCTTACTCTTTGCTTGCGTGAATAACTTGTTGGTGTGTGAGGGAGGTATATATTTACTATGATAATAACTAATACTCTTTGATTCTTCAGAGACTTCGGCAGAATAATTCATGAGCTTTTATAGCATTGTCTTTGTTTTCAAGTTTGGATGCTTAGGTTATCAGACTTTCTATTCCATACATCACTCTTTTCTTTTCACTAGAAGATGATGAATTAGCTGCAGAATATGTTAACACCAATAAAAAAATCTGCTTATTAGTCAATATCTTCCACTTCAAACCTTATAACTTGCAAATCATTGGTAAATACATATGGTTTGTTAAAATTTTCAAAATTGATAGACTTATGTATTCATCATATTGAACAAAATACATATAGAATATCATAGAAATTTTGAAAAAATGTAAAACACAATAAATTCAAATTATTATCAATCAACAAATGTACAATAATTGCAGAATATTTGTAATTGGCATAGAAATGTATAATTATTTCATGTGTATATCTATTAATAAATTTCTTTCTATATTCAAATCGAATTCACCTGACGAAGCTCAGAATTGAAGTTATATTAGCTCATTCAGTAAACCTTAAAAATCAAATGAATTTTACACATTGATTTAAGTGAAAATTAGCCTTATGATTTCACTTAGAAGCAAAATTATTTCATGATTTACAAATTATATAGTTATTATTTTTTTAACTGAATTTTCTTATTATTCATATGAAATGGATCAGATATTTTATATAGGATATTTTTTGATACCAAAATGATTGTTGTTTAACCCCTTGATTTTCTTTCATTGTAATGAACAAAATGATGGATTACGTATACAAATATATGATTAGTATTAATTATTTCAATTAAACTTAATTGATATTCCTGACTGAATGTCTTTTTATTCCATTCAAATCAGCATGCTGAAGTAATTTTCAAGAATATATATATATATATATATATTTCTTACTTTTTTTTAACAAATGGAAAAGATGAATTTTATTGATTATAAATCTATGAAAATAATAACTCATATTTACATTTTGAGCCTAAAAATCATCATCTTAGGTGACAAAAAAATGTTTGTATTTGTTCCAA